CATTTTACGCTTAAAAAAAAAAAAAAAATGTAAAGAAAGCGGGGAGAAAGGAATGAAAGAAAGAAGGAAAAAAAAAAGGAATGAACAAACCCAGCGTCGAAAGTGCGAGATTCTCGACAAGACTTGCGGTCCTTGGGGTTCAACCTGTAGGTAGCCTAGAGAGCAGTCTGGAGCGGACATGGCTCGTTAGCGATCTACCAACTAAACCACTTGGGTTTGCAATTACTACTATACTTACTTTGATACTTAACCGACGATACACTAATGGTTTTTCTCTAGTGGTCTGTCTACGAAGAACAGCTGCACCCTTTTCTACTGCCTGCATAAAATGACTTCGGGGATATTGGCGACGCGTTCGTCAATACCTGACTATTTACAGAGAGGAATAGTTTGAAACAGTGCTGTCTTTCGATAAGCGTTTCTAGTTGATAGCCTATAATCCAACCACATCTCACTACACAAAGAGAAATAAAGGCAAAAAAGCCTGGAAGGTCTAGAAAGATCTAGCAGAGGGAGATCAAAGAGCAAAGGAAGATCTGCCACAAACTGCATGCAAGCCACCAATGCTTTAATGCGACACTTCACAGACCCCCCGACTCATCCCAGATGCCTTGGGATATGGGAAAATTGACACAATATGTACTGCCTCACTCCATCAGATGCTGTTGACACTACCTGACCTCCCCTTTAAATATTTACCACGGGCCGACTGATGGTGTCGTGTAACTTCCCTTGGCCGAGCTGCCCTCACACTTTGAGGGCACCTTATTGGCAGTCGACGCGCCCCAGCTAGGGGGCACTGTTCCAGCCTCACGGCGGGTAGCAGACAGGAGCGCCGCGTAGGACCAGGTCAAGTCCTTAGCAGAGGCCGGGCTGCCGTTGTCCCGAGTGAATTGCTCAGCGAGAGATCCATCGCTGGGCGTGTGCTCCTTAACAACAGCCATGAATCCGTCGGCATATTTTTTGACCGCGGCAGTGATGGACGTGTAAGTCTCCGAGGAGCTGGGATACTTTCCGGCGGCGGCAGATGAAACCAGATCCTTGAAGAAAGGAAGACTTGTCTCGGTGATGTCCAACGATCCCTGTTGCTTCCACTGGTAAAGAGCATCATACAATTGCTCGGCCGCTGCCAGGGTGGCCAAATACCTAGGAATGTTAGCAAAGTTCTAAGCTAGTCAAATGAAAACGAAAGGCGTGCATACCATGGGTTGCCGCCCATATAAGTGTCTTCGGCATACCGTCCAACAGCAACAGCACTTCCAGCTTCCTTACCGCTGTTCACGGGATAGATCTTACGGAATGAGTCAACGTATAGCTTATGGTTCGACAAGGCGCGAGCAGAGCAAGGCTGGAAGGTCACGTCATCGCAGGGAGCCTTGGGGTCGAAGTTTCCGATCGAAGTAAGCACGGAATTCGCATCTAGACCGGTTCGGCCATTGTTAGCCACGTTGGAAACTACAGCCTTGCCATTCCAGAAAGACTGCTGGAAGCATAGGACCTGAGGTGCCTGGGAATCACATCCCTCGCAGGACTCTCCCAGCGCCTTGGCAAATGCGCTGCCCTCCACCAACGCGCGGTGTTGTGCGGCAATAGTGAAGAATGAGGAGCCCTGGACTTCCTCCCACAGATCGAATCCAGTTTGGTTCCAGTACTGCGCAACGTAGCTTAGATCATTTTGCACGATGGGCCAAATATTCGATTTGACGACAGATGTCTTTTCCTTCGAAATCAAGTAGTTACCATAGGTAATCAGAGCTGTCGCTCGTAGAGCGGGTCCATCACGCTGAGGACGGCCCCAAGCCTCTGTGAAGGCAGTCAAGTCCACGTGATACTTGGGCTCTGCAAGTCCTGATCCATCAGACAAGTCACCAGATGGGTTAGACACAGTCTGCAGCTTTGCTTGAGCAGAGATGTAATCCTGGATGGTAGATTCCAGCGAGCTATCTCCGGCAATGAACTCATCAATCAAGACCTTATATGTCAACGCTGCATCACGAGTCCAGGTATAGAAGTCTAGCAGATATTAGTTTCTATCATTAGCATTTGGGAAAGAAAGGGGTCTCACAGTTGGGATCCGATTTAGATGGGGATGCTACCACAACGCCTGCAGATGCTCCAGAAACAGCAGACCCATCGGCGCCAATGTTGTTCAGGATGGCTTGAAGAGCAGGAGGCTTCGAATCGGCCCGCGCATTGAGATTTCGAGCAGGCAAGGCAGATGATAGCACACCTGGTGCCAACAGGGCAGTCAAGACATTCGATGTCAACATAATGTATAATTTTTTGATTATATGATTTGTGATATTGTGATCGTGTGATCTTCGAAATCCTCTGGGAATCCCGTCCTCTTTATATGTTCTGCAACCACCTCTGTTAGTCGGAAATTAAGTCTCCAAACAGGCAGACACTTCGGAAACCGAATTTCGTACCGATCTCTCATGTGAAATTTCAAGGATCATGATGTTCACTAGAAAGGTGCCGAAATGGACGTAGAGTTACATTCAGCTTACATTGATCGTGATCGGCATGGTAGATCGGCATTGCCAGATCCCGAACCGAGTAAGGCTAATCCGATAAATCACCGGCTCTGTTCCATCATCAGACAGCAACAGCCTATCCAAGTCCTTGAGGTTGTAGATCATATGATTTTACTACTTTTCCGATAACCTCCCGAGAATGACAAGTCAGCACAAGGACAATGGATGGAATTTCAACTTGTTGTCCCTGGCCCGTTTATCCGAGCTCGGGTCGGGGATACTTGAATATGACCGGTCCCCAGGGGAACCGAGAGCTGATATATATTATAGTGAGTCGGCGTCGACGTCTCAAGTAATGGGCTTTGGTGATTCTACCAGTCAAATTATGTGTAGAGTTAAGGATAAGTGTGACATTGCCAAAAGTAGACTGCGCCAAAAGCAAAAGTATGTCCAGCTATAAAACGCCATTTTTATTTCACACATCTCCCTCATGCCTTTTGTTCTCCCTTCCGCTTCCCCAAGCCCCCTTCTCTCTTCGGCACCCGAACCAGCCAATAGACACTCAAAGCCCCCACGGCGTTAACCACAATATACACCAGGACAATCCCGAAATTCCTCCAGCGATCCTCGTACCGGATGTTGACCATGCTGAGATACTCATTCGTATTGCTCAGTTGGCAAAATTCACAGTGCTCGGTATTGTTTGGATCGGTCAAGTACCCGCCTACCGAGGAGATGTAGGAGGCCATATACGAGCCGCACGACTGGCCTGCCGGCGGGAGGAACTTGACATATTCATTGGATGCGCACTCGATCTCCGTGTTGGCTACACCGGTCGCAAGAAGCCCGGAGGCGAGCCACGTGAACGGGGAAACGTAGTACATAAATGTCCAGAATCCGGGCAGGGAAACCTTTTTCACGAGGATGCTGTTTTCGTGGAAAGAATAATGAGTGTTGTTCATCATAAGAAGAATAGGACAGGCGTATAAGCCCGAAGGAGAAACGGGGGCAGCAAAAAAATGGTACATACCCGCAAAAAGATATGCATAGCATGTAGCAGATGTTCCCAACACTCCCAGCCGAATCGGCACTGTCGATCCCAGCAATGAGAATATGCGTAAAGGTACTGGTGAACATCATAAAGGCCCAGACAAACAAGAACATCAGACACCCGCGCGAGGTGACTTCGTGCGTTGAAACGGCGTTCTGGAATAGTCCGATAGGGTAGTACCAACAGAAGTAGGCCACCACAGCCATCAATGTGTTCCAGAAGATCTCAATGAAGAGGTTGCTCAACATCATGACTGGTTCGTTGATTATGTTAGTCAAATGTGTGTTTTCGTCTCGGGGTTGTTCCACTGCAGGGACTCCGTACCTTTCCAATCATATATCTTGGATGGCCTCTCGCGAGCTTCGTAAACCTCCCGCTGGTCGATAAACTGAGGCATAATCTGCTCGCTGAGCTGCCCGAACATACTCAATAGCATCATCACGGCGTACATCTGGTTTTGGAGCCCTTGTATGGTATTCCGCGCATTGTAAAAGCTGAACCCGATGAATAGAGCCTGCGACAAATGAAACTCGGTTAGATATTGGACGTACAAATGGTTTCCAAGATAGGGCTTTATTTGTCCAGTGGATACTCACCGAGCCCACTGTAAGGGCGATTTTGGAATAGATATACGACGGCGTTCGCCAGTATTGCGCAGCAACACGTTTCTGAACAAACCACCACTGTTGCAGAAAAGATGCGGCATAAGACCCGTTGTTCAACTGACTAGATGGCTGCATTTGCAGGTTGCCGCCTGTGGCAGCTTTCGAGGTCCGAATTTCATGCAATTGTGCCTTGACGGCTTGATACTCACGCGAGTCTCGCCAAACCTTTGACCAGTCCACTGTAGTTTGCGATCCGGGTGCCGCGCCAATCACGGTCAACATCCACTCGGCCGGGTTAGCGTCAGGAGGACACTGGCTTCCTCCATTGCACTCCATATACCGTATAAGAGTGGTCGAGTTCTTGCCGATTTCTGGAAAAGAAAGAGATTCATCATCAGTATATGTAAGTTTGCGATCCTGCGCTGGAAGAGAGAGATAAAAAGAAAGAGGGCAGCGGACAAACCTCCAAAGTACACAGTTCGGCCGCCTTCTGCGAGAAGTAGCAAGTTGTCGAATTCCTGGAAAAGAATGGCAGACGGTTGGTGGATCGTACACAGGATTGCCTGGCCATTGCGTGCAAGTCGTTTCAGCAGGTGGCAAATCGCCCACGAGGTCTGTGAGTCCAGTCCGGAGGTTGGTTCGTCCAGAAATAGGAGCAACTCCGGTTTTGCGGCCAGCTCGATGCCAATGGTGAGACGTCTGCGCTGCTCGATATTTAACCCTTCACCGGGGATGCCAACAATGGCATCCGCGTACTCTTCCATCTCGAGAAGTCTGATCACTTCGTCCACGTAGGCGAGTTTCTGCTCCCGCGGCACATTCGCCGGCTGGCGTAGAAGTGCGCTGAACTCAAGTGACTCGCGCACACTGCAGGTTGAGAGATGTACATCTTGTTGCTGCACATAGCCTGTTTTGCGCTGGAAGGAGGCATCGCTAGGCTTGCCGTCGACGAGCATGGTGCCGGCGACGACACCGGTCGTGACGCGCTTGGCGAGAACGTTGAGGAGCGTTGTTTTCCCAGCACCGGAAACACCCTGGTATTCACTTTCTGTTAGCTTATTACAGCGCTGGAACTGATAGTGACATCAATATACGTACCATCAACGCGGTCAAAGTTCCAGGTTGAACCCATCCATCAACGTGGTCTAGGATACGCCGGACCTCTCCTTTATTCTTAATATCGTAGCACACATCTTGCCATTGGAAGATCTGGCCATCGTGGGAGGGAGCGTGCGTCTCGTCTGTCACGGCTAACTGCGCCATCGTGGCCATTTCGGCCCCGTGGGCCTCTTCGTCCTCGGCCTCTGCCATTTGGCGCGTGGATTTCTTGTTGACGAAATGGCTGCGGCGAAAGATTAGAACTTCACCTTTGCTCTTAGCCATGCTGAGCAGCTCGGTTGCGGCCAGGTAGATGACTGTGAGGAAAACCCAGAAGGCGATGAGAATTCCCACGTTACTGGTGGAATATCAGTGGCTTTTTCTTATCTAGGCCGAATGGCTCTCACATCGATAATTGAAGAAGCTTACCGCCATTTATTGGTATGATAATATTGGAACTTGTTGTTGATGTAAATGTCACCCTGGATTGTCGTCGAGCCGAGCGTGTTCCCGACCTCCGCACAGGCCCGGTTATTGATGCCGACGGCGCTGTAATCTAGCCCCGAGGGGACGACGACCGAGCACGAGAAACTGCGGTCGTGAAACTCGTTGATCATGAGTGACTCGAAAGCGTAACTGAGCGGATTGACATAGGTCATCCACCGCGACCATCCAGGCATGTACATGGTTGGCATCGTGAAGCCGGTGTACATGATCAAGCCTAGGACCAGTAAAGCGGCTGGCACCATCGCCTGTGACATAGTACGCGATACGGATGCAATCGTCCGGAACAAGCTGGATGTCACTATTGTGCTGAGAAAAGCAACGAAAAGGAAAAAGAACAGGGGCCCAGCTTCTCGCCGTAGGTTTGACATGAGATATAACGTCAGGTTGAAGCACAGGGTGTTAAGCACTTTGTATGGCATGTCAGTCAGCATGCTGGCGACAGCCTCGGCAGACGGGTGGTAGAGAGCGAATTGATTGTGTTTCTCCACAATCGGCCGTTGCTCGTATAGTGTTAAGATCTGGAGACAGTTAGAGTTATACTAAACAGCATTTAATCGGTTGTCGTTACCTCAAGTACACTGGCAAAGGCGCTCAAGAGTAAAGCAAAAAAGATCAATCCTCCTCGGCCATAAAAGCTGTTTGTGTCGTTGTGTAGATTGAAGAAAATGCTGCCCAAGACCAGAGCCATGATGGTATTCCCCCCAAGCTGGATTAATGTCAAGGAAGGATCCGCACGCAGGCGCTTCCAACCGCGCCAAAGGCACAGAGACGTCTGTTGCATGTACGACAGCGTATATGGGGATTTCAGTCTTTGGCCACTTGCCTGTTGGGCCTTGCGCGAGGCCACAAAGTCGTCCAGATATTCGCCTCCTAGGCTGAATTCACTTTCGTACGCCTCTATTCGAAGCATCAGCTGATGGTGCTGGTGGCTTTTCTTCCATCTTTCCTCAAATTCTGTTGCTGTTCGCGGGGCTTTATCCTCAAACCCTGGCCGCACGAGACGTTCTTTCGGGCTGGTCATTGAGGTAAGGAAGTCCGGCGTTGTCTGTCGCTCGGGGCCTTGGGATATTCATGTTAGGAAAAAGCATGCAGAATATGGATCAAGACACCGTGTAATCTTACACTCAAACCCCAACTCTTCAAAATATGCGCGTGCTTCCGCTGTCTGTCCGAAGAAGATCTGCCGTCCTTCATACAAGACCGTGACCTGGTCGAAAAGCTTCTGCATGGTGAGCCAACATTCTTTTTGCCGATACCAAGAGTAGAAAGGATGAGAGGACACCCACATCATATGCCTCCTGAGGCGCTTGATAGAGGGAGACCAGGACTGTGGACTGTAAAAGCTCGGTGGCCGTGCGAAGCGTCTTACAGAATTCCATTGCATTGGCGCTGTCCAGCCCGCGCGTACTGTTGTCCCAGCATTGCAACGCGGCGTCACTCAGCGCTGCTTCGGCAATGCTCACGCGTTTCCGTTCTCCTCCACTGATCCCCCTGATGAAATCATTCCCCACCACCGTGTTCGCCGTATGCGAGATGCCAAACATGGCCATGATAACGTCCCGGACCAGCATAGAGAATTCCCCTGCCTTCAGCCCGGGCGGCAACTTTCGCGGTGCTCTGGCATGGGCTGCAAAAGAGAGCGTGTCTCCCACTGACAGCATCGGAAAATGCACATCGTTCTCGCCAGCGAAAATGGCCTCTCCTCGGAAGTAAGTGTGCATCTCTTCGATGGAGACGCCTAGTAGCAGATAAATAGGTAAGAAAGTGGTTTCAAGGTTTCTAGTGCGAATGTAGAACGCTGCTACACATACCTCGATAGTCCATCATGACCCTGTCACCCAAAAACAGCCCTTCCATTTGCCCAGCAATCGTCTTCAACAGGGTCGAACACCCCGAGCCTGGAGGCCCAAGCACCAAAAGCATCTCCCCGGCATTGACCAGCCCCTCGAACCCGTGGAGGATATCGATCCGTCGTTTGCGCCGCTGCGTGAAGAGTGACAGGATGCTGTTTCCCACGCTCTTCTGATAGTCGGTGGACATGCCGAAGCCATATACGTCGAGATTGCGGAAAGAGACGCCAGACTTCCGGCGTCGTCCTGACTCGAGATCCTCGCTCTCGTATCGAACGAGCGCTTCTACCCAAGCCCGAGTGTTGAAGCTGGAGGACTGCGGGTCAAGCTCTGAGCCGGGGAGGGGATGGAAAATATCATTGTATGGCTTGGTCACTTCCGAGGCCATGGTGTGCCGTGAGGCGTGGCTTGCGAGTCTCCGAATTGTTCGGTCGACATCGTGCTCTTCTTCTTTTTCTTCCAGGTCGGGTTTATACATCCGGGCAAACTCGGTGTTGGTAGAGTGAGGGTGTTTTGTTGGGGTAGTGCTCTCTGCCATGGTTGCGTGTAGGCCTTGCAAATATAGATAGAGATCGTTGTGGTTGTTTTCTTTTTGGCCTTTCTTCGGCGCATCGACGGCATTTAATACTCGGACCAGCTGCCCCTTCTGTCAATAGAGAATAATAGAGAATAATTTGCTCTTCGATTCCAAATGAAAATATTCGGTGTTCGGGGATTGCAGGCTGAGCAGGCTGACGTTGCTCGGTGTTCGGTGCAGCTTGAAAAGTCTCAGTGCCGATCTATCAAGCTAATAATATGTCTCACAGAGAAACCTAATGTGAAGCTGGGAGGCAGAGATATATGCTGAAGTGTAGAGACAATAAGTGAACTGCATATCAGCCGAGACGTAGTAGTATTCTCTCGGTTTCTGTTATTGTGTCCTGTGTATTCACAAAATAAGATGTCCGTTTCCCTGCAAATTTTGGAGCCTTTACCGTTGAACTACAGCCTGGCTAAACGAAAACTGCGCATTCTGATCTTCTGGCTGCTGGTCTTTTTGGACTCGGTTGTCTTTCCTATCGGGCTCTACTACCTTCTGACCTATACCACGACGTGGTCCGCCACGACTAGTACGCTACCCTCTATTCCTTGCACTGTGTAGATCTAACTACCCGTTTTCTTCGACAGTCTTCACTGTTTTGACAGTGACTTTGTTCGGGACATTCGTGACCGAGTCGTTGCAGAGATCGTGGGATCTGTGGCGGAAGGAATCCAGCTGCCGCGTTCCCAACGCTGGCCGCTATTATGTGACAATCCTTCATATCTCTCCACCAACTGCCTCTAACTTAATCCATGTAGTTCGATTTCACCCACTGGAACGTCCTCGTCTCCTGGGTCATCATCATTGCCGAATTGGTCGTCGGAACCATTCCTGAGCCGCCCTGGATGCGCATGCTGGCCATGCCCGTGCCTTCACTTTTCTTTATATTCGCCCTCGAGATGCTGATTATGGAGGCCCTGTATGTCTTCGAGAAGCCCGCCCCGTTCCGCATTTCATCCATCCCGAGTGGCAACCCAATGCGTCCCGCCATCTATCCGCTTCTGGAAGATATTATTGCAGTGGACGGCAAAGGAGGGACCAGATTTCGGGATCGCCTGGATCAGCGATACAAGTCCAGTCCACCCTTTCGCGGCATGCTGCACCGAGTGACGATGCTATGGGCGGTTCCTCAAATGGTGGTAGCCGGGGGGACTTTGGCAGGGATTGTCATTACGGACCGTGAGGTGGCTTACACGGTATGTTTATTTGACCTCCAAGGTGTGATATGGTAACGGAAGACTGAGGTTCTGGAATTGTTGCAGCTTGGCTGGTCAGTGCCTGCTATTTGGGCGGGGATCTGGGTTGTGGTGACGGTGATCTGGATTCGGGTGGAGTTGAGGCGAGAGAAGCAGTACTGGAATAGAGTGCGATTGACCCAGCAGCTGCAGGAAGAGACCGAATGCAATTCGGAGCTAGATAGGAGCGACGAAGATGCCACTTAATGAGGTACTGTGAACATACTAAGTGACGTGATAGGAAGGTCTTTAGTAGATTAACATATTTTTAATGTCCAATTGTTCTGAACGGAGCACCTTAGGGACCACAGCATGTAGGCACTAAATGGCAGAAGGGAGAGAGTTGTAGTAGGAAGAAACGAACTATCTAGTTAGTTCACTAGTTAACTACCTAGGTTAACGTATTCGGTAAGCGAGCTGGCCATGTAAGCGAGCTGGCCCCCCCAAAACACATAGTAAATGCGATAAATTACAACTTGATATCTCAACAACCACGTCTTTATTTGGTTTCATTACTTGTCGATAGCTATTGATAAGAACGTTTAATACTATATATCAATCTTAAGAGAATCGAAAAGGTGCATTGTCATGGTATCGAAAATTACGCTGCTAAAAGCCTGAAATATATATCTCATAATCTCTAAGTCGTATATATATTTCCCAAACTCCCTAGAGCGGCTAGATATTGCCTAAAAAGCAGGTCATAAGGAAATCTCTATATAGACTACCGTTGTCGAGATATCAAGTTGTAATCTATCGCATTTACTATGTGTTTTGGGGGGGCCAGCTCGCTTACCGAATACGTTAGCAAGAAGGTCTCTGCCCAAGACATCAGGCATCTACAACAAAACCCCATTGGATCAAGCCAAAATACCTCTAGGTAAACTTGTTCCGGGGAAATCAGGTTCATTCCATGTGGAGAACAACTGCGCCTCACTACAACATACCTAGGTAGATATACATCAATCTCGGTGACACACCACCGAGTGTCTTGGATACACCTTGGCAGTTTTATAGACCGAACCCCGAACCCCGAGAGATCTCTCGCGGTATTATCGCCCCTTCGGTGTTGGGCATGAGATAATTAATTCATATGAGCGCTATGTTGCTAAGGCCTGTGTATAAGTAATGAGATTATTCCAAAGCAATCAGACCTCTACTTCATCCCTTAATTCACTTAATATCTCTGCAAAGCCCAACTACTAGTCGAAAGCGATGAAAGACAGGGAATGCATTCCCGGACCCAAACGTAACCCAACCCATATCTAGCACTACCATTCGAAACTACTGTTTTTGTTTACTAACTGACCGATCATTTAGCTCTGCCGGTGGTGGGAAATCTATTCGACATCGACCTCGAACATGGCCTACAGTCCATTATTAAGATGGCCGATGAATTTGGTATACTTTACTATGTTATCTGATGCGAAAAAGAAGTCGTCGCTAACCAATCACGCCAGGACCCCTCTTCCAAATCAGCGTCAACGGCGAGAAGCTGATATTTGCCACCAGCCAAGCCCTGGTCGATGAGCTCTGTGACGAAACCCGCTTCCACAAGGCCGTCGTCGGTGGAGTCAAGAAGTTACGAATGCTGGCCAATGACGGCCTCTTTACTGCCCACCAAGGAGAGCGCGGCTGGGGCATTGCCCATCGGATTCTGATGCCTGCCTTTGGCCCGCTACGTATCCGGGACATGTTCGATGATATGAACGATATCGCGCAACAGTTATGTTACAAGTGGTAGGGATCCCTAAATGCGGTTTCTAGAACAAAACGAGAAGAAAAAGAAGGCTGACTTGGTGGTCTGGTTGTTGTTGGTGCAGGGCCCGCCAGGGCAGTTTGACCAGTATCAATATCACCGATGACTTCACACGCCTCACATTAGACACCATCGCCCTCTGCACGATGGGCTTCCGGCTGAATAGTTTTTACCACAGCGAAACTATACATCCGTTTGTAGAATCCATGCTGTACGTGCTGAAGGAAGCCGACATACAGGCCGCGCTTCCTGAGATCGCAAACTCCATGCGCGTCAACGCACAGCGGCGCATGTCCAAGAACATCGAGTCGATGAGGAGCATGGCCCGCGACATCATCAAAGAGCGCAGAGACAAACCAGAGTCGGTTGACGACCTCCTGAACACGCTGCTGAACGGGCGCGACCCAGTCACAGGCGAAGGCATGAGCGATGACTTGATCATCAGCAACATCATCACCTTTCTGATCGCGGGCCACGAGACCACCTCCGGCCTGCTCTCATTCACATTCTACTACCTGTTGCAACACCCACAGGTCCTCGATCGGGCCCGGAACGAAGTCGATAAGGTCGTTGGCATGGACCCGATCACGATAAACCATCTCTCAAAGCTTCCCTACATCGACGCCATCATGAAGGAGAGTCTGCGTCTGATGCCTACCGCCCCGGCCTTCACAGTCACCCCGAAGAAGACAGAGCTGCTGGGCGGGAAATGGACGATCAGTCCCAGACAGGCTATCAACGTGCTGCTGCCTGTCTGTCAGCGAGACCAGACTGTCTTCGGGCCCGACGCGGGCGAGTTCCGCCCGGAACGCATGCTGGAAGAGAATTTCTCCAAGCTCCCACCAAACTCGTGGAAGCCCTTTGGCAACGGCCAACGCGGCTGCATCGGGAGGGCTTTTGCCTGGCAGGAAGCCCAACTGGTGGTTGCCTTGGTCCTTCAAACATTTGACTTGGTAGCGGAGGACCCGTCTTATGAACTGCACATCAAAGAGACTCTTACTATCAAACCCGATGGTTTCCGAGTCCGGGCCACGTTGCGTCGCGGTCAGAGCGCTACGGGGCTATCCCAGCGCAGGATGTCGGGCGCTGCTGTAAGCCTGGCGTCGTCAACTCGTCTTACCGGGGACGGAGATGACCAACAGGCAGCAGCAGGGGAGCCGGTTTCCTTCTTCTACGGCTCCAACAGCGGAACATGCAAAGCCCTCGCCCACCGGCTGGCATCAACCATGATGGCCCGCGGCTTTACCAACCAGAAACTCGCCCCACTTGACAGTGCCGTCGACAACCTGCCAAGAGATCAGCCGGTGATCATCGTAACCACCACCTATGACGGGCAGCCCACGGACGATGCAAAGAGGTTTGTTGCCTGGCTCGAAAGCGACAATGTTCCGTCTCTCCAAGGTGTCTCCTACGCAGTCTTCGGCTGCGGCCACCAAGACTGGTCCAAAACATTCTATCGCATCCCGATCTTGATCGACGACCTGATGCACAAGGCCGGAGCCAAGCGTCTCGCGACGCGGGGCGCAGCGAATGCCGCTGTCAGCGATCTTTTCTCGGATCTCGAAGCATGGGAAGAAACCAGCCTGCTGCCCGCCCTCCGCAAGACATTCCTCCCATCCAGCAGCAGCGACATCGAGCCACTCGACCCTCACCAGTTTCAAATCCACCTCAGCAAGCCCACAAGGGTGGGCTTGCACCAGGACCTCATCGAGGCCAAGGTGACTGCCGTCCGGATCCTAACTAGCCCCGGAGCCCCGGAGAAGCGCCACGTAGAATTCAACATCCCGGGCGAAGCCACCCTGCACCCTGGCGATCATGTCAATGTCCTCCCGGTCAATCCGCCAAGCACGGTCTGGAGAGTCCTGGCTCGATTCCATCTCGCACCTGATCACAGCATAACGATCAAGTCATTCAACGCGCTCGGTCTGCCTCATGCCACGCCTGTGTCGGCGAGCGAGCTGTTCAGCTCGTATCTGGAGCTATCCCAACCGGCAACGCGGAATGTACGTTTATAAGAGTCTTACCAACTTGACTCAAAACTAAGGCACTTGGCTAACTGAAGAAATTCCAGAATCTCAAAGCACTCATCTCGTCCGCACCGTCAGATGGGGACAAACAAGAGCTGCTCCGTCTCCAGCATTCCTACGATGCACTTATCAGAGATAAGCGAGTCTCAGTCTTGGACCTCCTCGAAAAATTCCCCTCTATCCCACTCCCTATCGCTACATTCATCCCTATGCTTTCCCCTTTGCGCGTCCGCACATACTCCCTTTCTATGGCCCCCTCCTACAAGCCCTCCTATGGCTCTCTCACCTTCTCCGTCGTCAACGAACCAGCATGGAACGGCAATGGCCGGTATTTGGGCGTCGGATCGAACTATCTCGCCTCGCTCACACTAGGGTCGGTTCTCTACATATCACCACGACCAGCTAAGGACGCCTTCCATCTCCCGATGGATCATTCCAGCAAACCAATCATAATGGCCTGCGCGGGAAGCGGCCTTGCCCCCTTCCGCAGCTTTGTCCAAGAACGCATGGTCTGGCTGAAACAGGGCAAACCACTCGCAAAGGCGCTGTTGTTTTTCGGTTGTCGCGGTCCCCATATGGATGATCTTTACCACGAGGAATTATCCGAGTTTGAATCCGCGGGCGTGGTCGAGGTCCGCAGGGCGTATAGTCAAGCCCCGGACCACTACCTGGCCAAGGGATGTCGGTATGTGCAACACCGGTTGGTGGAGGAAACTGAGGCTATCCAGGATCTGTGGGCTCGGAATGCGACATTCTATGTCTGCGGTTCGGGGAATCTGGCCAAGGGGGTCAAGGCCGCGTTGGAGGATATGCTGGGGACGTTGTCCGAGGAGCGATATGTTACGGAGATTTTCTAGATGGCCATTGTTTTTATTCTGTTTTTTCTCTCGTATAAATCTGATGTTAGCAATTTTTCGGCATTTGTTTATAAAACCGCCTTTCAGGTGGAGTTTTTAGCTAGTTGTTAATATAAATGCAAAATTCATCTTGATAGCTTCTAGTCATGTCCAAACTCCGGAACCACGAACTCAAACAAGCTCTGAATATTAAAGGACGCCGTCATCGGATTGTCAGGTAAGCCATGCACGGTCGCCTCCGGCGTTACGGGATAGTACAGATAGTCCCTTGCTTCCCAGGGCTCCATGATGTTATGCGGCAATTCGATATTATCACCATTGCTGTTCATTTGATTCAATTGCGTGGAAACCTAGTCAAGGTTAGACAAAGTACGTGGGTACTATAGAATCCAGAACGGTGGTATACCTCGGTGTCTGCCAATATGGACCCGGCAATCGACGAGCCCAGTGCACTGGGCTGTTGCTGTTGCTGTTGTTGTTGACTGCCAAAGTCTTTGACGTACTGCCGTGCGATATGCGCAAATTCGGTTAAAAGCGACGCGGGCAGGAACCCCCCAGACTTGTAATCCAACAGACTGAAGTGACCGGCTACTACGTCCAACAGTGACAGGTTGTTCCGCGTTTCCGGATGCGTTGGATTGTGGATGACGAAGTCAAACAGGATGAATAACGCTGAGAGAGGTAAAATAGCCAGAATGCTATCTCAGTCAGTTTGTGTTGCAGCGATGTCAAAATCACCTGTCCCGTCCTGTCCTGAAGAGAGGTGGTGCTGCTTACAAAATCGGCGTATGGGCAGCCATGTCTACATTCTTGCTTCCCTCCACGACAGCTCTTGCTGCATCCATCAGTAGTCGCTTACTCTCTTCCTGTTTTCGGGGCTGGTCTTCTCTACCTATCTGCATTTTGAGTCTCGCCAACGCGACGATCAAACCGTAATAGGAAAAGTTGGTCTGGAGCACGATCATCTTGAAGCTCGGCTCGGGAAAGGAGGAAGAAGGCATATTCGGTTCGTGAAACGCCATACCGGGTCGAAATTCCACGGGCACTCCCGTTCGCCATCGTTCCAACCGAGTCTCAATCTCCTCGATCGCGACGTGGTACGCTTGCGTGCTTTGGATTGCGGCACTCACCGAGAAGAGAGACGTATAGGCCTGTGAGAGAATTCGCCCGAAGCCGATGGCCGACAAAAACCAGTTGTACTCTCCGAAGATGGATTCCGGGACATCGGGGATGGGACACCCGATGTCGTGGTCTGGGATCATCTAGTTTAAGGTCAATGCTATTCCGGGCGTCGCCAAGGTCAGGAGAAGGAGGATGTTATAAGCCTCGAGTCACCTACCGAGCCTGTTTGGTGCTGGAAACACATATGTTTCTCCATGTAGTATATCACCCAGAAAGTCCTGTGACAGGTGGATTTGTGTCGTTGGTCCCCGTTGCCTAGTGCTCTGTGGTATCCGAGGCCTTGGGCCATTCGGGCGGCTTCCATGAGCAAGATTTCGTCGATTTGAAGACAGCAGGTATTCATGGTGAATATAGACTGAACGCCACGATTCAACGGATTAGCCCCTTCACATGACTTCGCAATCTGAGGTTATCTTGGAATTATCGCTCACATACCATGGCGACTAGTGCCTAATTCTTGTTAGCCAAATCCAAAAGTCGCCACAAATAACATACTTGAAGACTCATCAGAGCTTCCCTCGGTATCAATATCTCCGACACAAGACCCAAGGACACCTGGAAAAGCTTCCACACCCTGCCATTCCCCGGATCAAACGTTCCGCCTTCATGGTACTGGCATCCCAGAGCCAGGACAGTATGATACAAAGCCGAAAACGCACAGCTGGAACTCATGGTTTCAGACCGATTGGGCGCGAATACCTTATCCTCGAACTCTTTGCGATCGAGGAAGGGGTAAATCGGGTGCAGTTGTTGGAAGTAAGCTGTATATTTATAATACCAGTTTGTCAACGAGGGGAAAGATGCAATAGAAAATAAACTCACAGTCGATGTACAACCTGACCTTGTCTAGCGGGACTTGCTCAATATCCGACGGCTTTCTGAAAGTGACAAGCGATATAGAGGACGGGCCCTGGGCGAGAAGCCGTGATCGGATGACAGATTCGATGGTCTCCACCAGCTCATTGAGCCGGTCATTCCCTAATCGTTGTGATAAAGAGTGGATTCGAGGCTCGGAGAAAAAGGCAAGGCTGGAACTAGTCACTTGAAGGGAAGGAAGTGTCAGGGATGTGCTGTTAAAGAGAACAGTATATCATACCGTCATGTTCGGGTGCCTACGGTACTTAGTATTAAGACAAATAATCAGGAGCTTCGTGACTGACCCTCAGCAAGGCAAAGCTATCCCGAAGTATCCCACTGCTACCGTGATTTTCCAACATCTGGTCTAGAAATACTGGTGAGACGATGCGTCGAAGACGGAGTTTCTCACTCGAGTTCTCTAGGATATTTTCTTTAGGGATTTAGACCATAAAAGATAAATGAGGTTTCATGCAAATACGTACGGCTGCTTTCAGAGACACTTGTCCTTGGCTGACGCTTGGTCTGGGTGAAATGGCAGGTCTCATTCCGCTTCTAGATAGACAAGCCATGGATTGCAAGATTAGAGATGGCCGATATGGATGTTCGAGTGATTACCATCTTACAATGCAGTGGGCGCATCGTGAATACTGTCCGGGGGGCACTAAGAGATGGGCACAATTACACCTCGTCATTCAAGAAAAAGTCGGTTAAAGACAACGTACTGATGCAGCGGACTTTCCGGCTCCTGCATTGGTCGCAGGATTTGCAGGGCTTAGCCTCGGCGACACGGACTTCATTCTGATCCATTATGATAAAGATGAGAAAAAAGTAAGGAATTCGGTGTTGGCTGAATAAAGGACGAAGAGGGAGCTCGGTCTTCCGGACTCCAGTAGTTTCACGGAAGTCTAATCCTAACCTTGGAACCTGAGATGAAAAGCCCGAACCCCGAGGATTGCGGGATAGAGGGAACATACGTACCTACATTTATATTTAGCTCGATTAAGGTTAATATATGAGGATCCTAAACCCCTTTAGTTAACTGTTAGCTAGTTCTAAGGTTACCTGACAAATTACTAAGCTAAATGCATCGGGGCCCGAGGGGCCCGAGGGGCCATACTTCCAAGGTTCTGAGGCATACAAGTACAAACGTATCCCGCAAAAAGACCGATCAATGTAACTTGTTTCCTGAAATTACATATGCAGTCCCTGAATATCAGTCTCATCAGCCAAGTTCCGACCTCGGGGCCTTGAACAATCCGGGGTGATTGGAGAGGTTCATACCCTCAGAGACCTATCTAAGGAAATCTCCGGTGTAAGCTCTGGAGGGAACTGTCATGCCCCGCACTATGCTTGACTGGGTTGCTTCGCCCCATTCTGGCTTCGAGATTACGCCCCACATGTGAAACATCGCATTCAGGTATCTTTGCGGCCTTTCCAACTTCATCTAAAAAAGGAGGAGAGACTATGGCAGAAGTAGTGGGGCTAGTCGCCAGCATTGCCGGCCTTGTCCAGATTGCAGGACAAATTACCAAACTCAGCTACAGTTACGTGTCAGACATCAAATCTGCCCCCAAAACGCAAAAGCTGTATCTCCAAGAGGTTTCAGCGCTCACAGATGTGCTTTTTCGGGTGGAAAAGGCAATACAAGAAGCCGAATCTACCGGCTTAGAACTGCCCTTGTGCCCATCCTCGCTCAATGAAGAAGCTCTTCAAGAGTGTCGTCGCCACTTGGTGGTCCTTCACCTCGATCTTGACAAGCGACTAAGCCGTCTCGTGTGGCCGTTTCAGGAAAAAGAGGTCAAAAAATATATTGATCTTTTGCATCGCTACCGATCTCTCTTTGCCGATTTTCTTTCGACAAATGTCATGTTCGAACACCCATCTCCTCTCCGCAACCACTTGGACAGTAAAACTAACCTGCAGCAGGTCTGTTGCCAGTGCTACGTACAAAAGGGTCGCAACCATCGATCAAGGTAGTCCTTTGAATGGCATGAGTCCTCACGATAGCTCTAATCCAACCTTTAGAGCAAATCAGGCAACATCTTTACTCGCTTTTCCCGGCGTCAGATAACCTTTTACGCTCCAGACCAAATCCTTGTCCTGGAACTGGGAAATGGTTTTTGAGCTCACAAGATGTGGAAAGCTGGCGTACCGGAGCCCCATCACTCCTCTGGTGCTATGGAGCCCGTATGAAACAATTCTTTCTGAAGATTACTTGTAACACATCAAGAATTTGCTGACCGATAATAGCTGGTGTTGGCAAATCCCTACTTTCGTACGTGTTGCTCAAAACCTCCTATTCATAGCTTTGCAATGTCTAACGCAGCTAGATCAATTACGATTGGGCATCTGTGGGATAAGAGATCAGAAACTACAAGCTCCGTGGTATATGTATTTTGTCAATTCTCATCCCGAGAGCAACAAAGCCTCACAGCGATCTTGCAATGCATGATCCGACAAGTAATCGAGCAAGCAGATGAAAGAGTGCTTTTCGCAATGAAACATCTCTTCTTGGATCCAATGAAGCAGCGTGAACCTGCAGGACTCGCTGAATCATTTGCAACGGCATGTGAGCTGAAGTTAACATATCTTCTAGTCGACGGTCCAGATGAGGTGTCTGGAGCAGATGGGTTGCTCCCTTACTTGTCTTCCTTTGTCGAAAATGGGTGCAGAATAATGGTAACGAGCCGAGACCTTAGCCATATCAGGAAGGTTATGGGTTGTGCAACAAAGATGGAGATATGTTCGCAATTTGAAGATTTAGAGATCTACATTGACTCCCGCTTTAAAGAGAACGAGCTTCCTCGAGGGGCCCAAAAGTTGATCGGAAAAATCACAGAAAAGTCGGGGAATATGTATGAACTACCGTGGGTAGAGGAGTCCAGCGCTGACCAGATACTAGGTTTTTACATACCAAGCTTATTCTGGATGAGATCTTGGATCTGACCACTGTTCGTCATATGCAAAAGGCTCTAGAAAAACAGTCGACGGGGTTGGATCAAGTCTACCAATCGACACTACAGCGAATCGACATGCAACCAATGGCAAGGAGGGAACTTGCTCGACGATCTATCGGATGGGTTGTCTTTGCGAGGAGACGTCTAAAAATTGATGAAGTAATTCATGCCTTCGCCGTTGAAAGTGATGAGGATTATATTGAAGAAGATAACCTCGTCAGCCCTGATCTTCTCCTTCGATCGTGTGTTGGTCTAGTGGTGTTACATGATGACAAGTCTGTTGCAATGGTCCATGCGACTGCTTACGACTTTTTCGGATCCACGGTGCTGTTACTGCGTGACGTCGAGATCGACATCGCAGAGACATGTCTACGCTACATGTGTCTCAGTCCGTTCAAGGAGGGGCCATGCACAAGTCGTGTGGAGATGTCTCGCCGCTTCGATGAAATGCTCTTTCTGGATTATGCCTCACGGCATTGGGCAAGACATCTCAAAGAAATAGAAGGTGTGGAGGAAGATCTAGAGCAACTTGTTCAGGTTTTCATTTGCAATGAGAGGCTCCTGAATGCCGCTGCTCAAGCGTTACACTTCCGCAGTGAACTGGAAACTGACCTCCTGGACTCCCTTTTTGATTCAATCCCTCAAAATCAAACACCATTGCATGTCGCAGCTTATTGGAATCTTACGGGAACACTCAGGACACTGGTCGAGTCAGGGCTCAGCACATCTCTAGTAGATACTCACGGCTGGACACCTCTCCACTACTCCTGTGCAAACAGTCATTTTTCATCGGCCGAAGTTCTTGTGAGAAGTGGAGCGAATGTCGATGTCACAGACAATCAAGGATGGACCCCTCTTTTCTGGGCGTCATTCACTGGAAGTTTGGACATTGTTCGTCTTCTATTATCCGAACACGCAAAATATACGAAGCGTAGCAAATATGGTTGGACAGCATTACACTGGGCTATATCACGCGGTCAAACCGAGGTGGTTTTGGAGCTTGTGCGGCATCATCAAACACAGTTGTCGCGCGTTACCAAGGCTGATATCCGGACCCTCAGCGTCGATGACGTGAGACAATTGAACACACCAGAGAATATTTCACCGATGCAAATAGCAGCCGAGAGCAAGAATGCTTTGATATTCGACTTGCTTGTGGCTCACTTTCAAGAGACGGGCGGAGAGAAAGATTTCCGGAGGTTCTGGTCGAGAGAGAGCTTCAAAGTTCCTGTTGCTCAGAGTACATGGCGAAACACGATCAAGTCACAAATAAACGGAGATTCAACCCGCACAAGGGGATCGATTACTGGAGAGACATATATAGAGGAGAACCCGAGCACTTACTTCAAGCGTGAATTTATGAAGGAAGAGCCATCAACATGGAAGTCAATTCTACTTCTCTCCGCCATCCAAGATGCTGATTTTCAGGCAGCTAAACTGTTTATCGAACTTGGTGCAGATGTGAATTACATTTCTGAAAAGGGATCCCTGCTGGACGTTGCCGCGCACCAGAGAGACCCACGTTTTGTACAAGTTCTGCTGGAAAAGGGTGCCAAAGGACTACAGACTGAAACGGAAACGGACAGATCTGCACTGCACACTGCTATCAACCTCGGGAACTTGGAAACGGCGAAAGTCATCCTCAACAGTGACCATGCTCATGTGAATAATTGGTATCAGGGTAAAACACCTTTGCATGCAGCCGCCGGTCAGCAAGATCCACAATTCGCATTGCTTTTGTTATCTAAAGGGGCACAGCCTGAGCTCCTAGATGGGTGGCAACAGACTGCCCTAGCCATCGCAGTGACGAACGGATTCGTCGAGACAGCACAGGCTGTGATTGATGGTGGTGCAGATGTCAACCAGCTGTCGTGGATGTGGATTCTCAACACAAGTGAATGGCGGAACTGCCTGACGATGGCCGTTTTCCTTGCCGGTGGGGACAACGAGGAGCCGGAAAAGAGGGGCTCGGCAGCTGAAATGGCTCGCATGCTGCTTTCGAAAGGGGCAGACCCCAGATTCCAAGATGAAGAAGGTAAGACCATGTTGCACCTGGCAGCCATGGGTCGCAGTGTGAAATGCATTGAACTTTTGATAACGGCTGGGTCCACCTTTGAGACTCTCGACAAGAGCGGGCAGACTCCAATCCATGCCATGATGGAATCCGTAGACCCGAGCTGGGATGTGGAAGAGGTGGAAGAAGCTCTTCGTCTGTTGCTCCGAGGATTCTCAGAAGACGCCGTCATCTCATTACTGGCCCAGCAGACGTGTCGATCCATTGTTTCCGAGTCTTCGATCGACGGACACATTCAATTAGACACGCCATTGACTAGTGCATTGAAGCGGAGAGCTTGGAGTATAGCTCGTCTTTTGATGGCCTTGGGAGCGCAGCCCCCCACTAGCCCCAGTTTTCGACCTATTGTGATGGATGCGGCCAGAGACCTCGAGTGTCACATCGTCGAGAGTCTTATTAGGAGTGGTGTGTCACCAGGTGATGATGCTGCTTTGGAATTGGTGAAAAGCATCGATGGCCGACTTCTAGACGAACCTTCTTCTATACTTTCTTCGCCTAGAAAGGGAATCTCTCTCGCTAGAATTACGCGTATGTCTGAACAGGCAAGAGCAAAGGCAAGACTTCAAAACACAGAACTTCCGCGCAAGGAGATTGCGCAGGCCTCCCAGCAGATTCTGACTAGACTTGTGTCGGCCGGGGCGGACGTGAACTTCTATGACTCAGAAGCAAACACAACTCCTATTCTTCTCGCAGCTGAGAAGATTCCGATTGCTCTGGTTACGGCCACTCTATTAGAGATTGGTGCTGATTGCTTCGGTTCTTTCGGGAATAAACTTGATCCAATTTTGACGGCTGCGGCAGCCAACAACACAGAGTCACTGCGTTGCCTAATAGCGCATGCCTCAACCTCGCCAAAACCAGGGCATTGGACCCAGCATTTAGAGTATCAGGGCCAGCTGAGCAACAAAGAGATTTTCAACTGCATATGCCTGGCATTGAAACGCGCGGAGAGGCTAGACTACAAGTACTCGAATGGTCAGACATTGTTGCACCTCGCCGCTGAGAGAGGGAACATCGATTTGGTCATCAGTTTGATCTACCATAGTGCTCGTGCAGATATACCGGATGAAGATGGCTGCTTTCCCATTCATTCTGCCGCATTTTCACTATACGATTCGGGTCATGGTGATAGACTGCACTGGCCGCGTTATCATGATATAGTACAGCACCTTCTCCCGGTGAATATGTTGCAACATACTTCCGATCATCGTCCCTATCGCTTTATTGAGGCTCGAGCCTCCCTCGAAGACGCCGAAATTTGTCAGCGGATATCAAACAAAACGAACGAAAAAGGAAGCACGATGCTTTGGGGCGCTTTGGAAAATAAGAACGACACCATGTTTCTGCATCTTCTCAAGCTTGAGAAAGATTTCAACTCTTGTGCCACACTTTCTGGAAAGCATCCGTCACTTCTTTATCATGTAGCTGCTCGTGGGATGACAGAAGCAGTGTCTTTCTTGCTGGAATGTGACGTTGATATTGAAAAGGCCGACAGCTGTGGATGGCGTCCACTGCACGTCGCATCAGAATGGGATCAAGTCGCAATAGTCGAGCGGCTAATTGCTGCCGGAGCTAACGTCTGCGCTTCCACAATACAGTATCACGAGGATTTCTACACGGGTTCCGATCTTGACGGGGAATCATGGAATGGTCATCCTCTCCATTTGGCCGTAATCGGGGGTAACGTCGAGACGGTTGAGCTTCTTTTAAAGCACGGTGCAGATGTGAATGCAAACACAGGATGCTTCAAAGGGTCCGATGGAAGGATTCGTGGACCGACTGCTCTTCACATAGCATTAGATCCACGGGCATGGTATCCTGGCGACGAGGAAGACGAGGAAGACGATGAAGATCGTGAAGACTGTGAAGACCGTGAAGACCGTCATGAAGACTATTTGAAGATTGCTAGAATGCTAGTTAAAAAGGGAGCTTCTGTCGAAGGCGTCTTGGATCAACTGCAGGTGAATGACGTTCCAAGTTTTGAGGGTTTTGAAGACGTCTGGAATAAGATTCGAGGGGTTTGAGGATGCCTGGGCGAAGATTCGAAGTTATATGAAGTTGAGAAATTGCAACGCAATTCACCACCGAGCGCAGTTAGCCATGGGCTGGAACGTGCCTATATCACCGCCTTGTGAATTTCCTTAGCCGAGGAAATAGTGCATGATACATCCGTGTTTCGAGCATTAAGCTGTTTGTCTATCAAGTTACATCACTACGAGGCGAACGTAGAACCAGACTCAGTGCAACAGCTATTCCAATTCTCTCCCTAATTTTCAAAATCCATATCAATTCCCATCCTCTCCATCACGATCTCTCTCAGTATGTTCTTGAAGTAGCCAATTCTAGACCACAGAAATGTACAGAACCCCCCGGCGTGGGAGCAAGCGGGGTCAATTACAAGTATGGGAAGGACTCATTGAATAGTGCTGTGGCATGCAGGACACCGCAAGCCACCGCACTGTCGAACGAAAAGCCCCACGGGCTGTAATCGACCCCGCCAGCCACCGCGTCAAGGGGTTCTGTATGTCACTGTGGCAGGTGATTGGTGTTCACTCAGGCCAAGAAAGACCCAACGCGGTCATGACATCGGCACATGGTGCGATCTGCTTATTGCAGTCGAGGAACACTGCCCCGACGATCGCCTCCATTGTCGCGGCCATAACCTTCTTCCCGACGTCAGACTGGGAAGGGTTTTTGACAATGAACTTGTCAATGCCGAGAGCGAATCCCTGCTTGCAGAGATAGTCATTCCCAGCCTTCTGCTGGATCATGTTTGAAATATCGCCTAATCAGAGGAGTCAGTCTATGGAATAAACTAGCTAGGGCTAAACACTTACCGCGTATCTTGTTCTTCGAGCGGCCAGAGGTCACAATGACGACGTCGAGGAGTTTGTCCCCGATCAAGGCAAGAGTCTTATTGCCATCTTCATTGACAGCGCTAGAGGCTTGGAGTGCCTCCCGTATCAGAGCGCGATTGCTGAAACGATACTTGATCTTCTTCTCGAAGTCCTCAAGTTCGGCATCCGAAGGGAGAAATAGATATATGTGACGTCCCACCATAACGTACTATGTTTGAATAACAAAGCTTGGTGAATGATAATAAGACAGATGGAGTAGAAGTTGAAGTATATAGATGATGAAAATCCCGGGAGTTTATGAGGGTATTTATAATAGGGCTTTCTTGGAAAACGAGTGCAAGGATGCCTTGCGGCGCGGGGTCGACAACTGGGCGCAGTACTGCGCACAGCACCGGATATAAGCAGGGTCTATATAGCAGGGGAACATGTAGCATCCCATTGGTCGATCATATATGCGCAGCACCCAACTCCCGATGTCGTTGTATTCTTTGATCATGATTGGGCTTTTGCCAGTTGGCTTGAGGCTCCGGGGCATATGTCAGCCTTGACAACACAGTCTCTTTCTTGTTTCGGAAATTCATGCGGTCGACCTGTCAGCCCGATGGAGAGGGGTTCCAATTCCAAAGGGCTGGTTTAGGCTATAAGAGGTAGGATGATTCTTGGACGTCACTTGATGGACGGACGTTTGTCGAGGATGAATTCTAAGACCGCAAGACACATACTGGGCCATGCTCCTTCGTACCGGGTAATGCAACAGCCACCTGCCGCTGTCAGGTAAGGGTGGAAGGGGTTATCAAAGAAAGAGATAGAGCAAACGGCCCCAGGAAGCTAGGATATCTGTCTGGATGGTTGTTGCATGGAGGGATCAGTGATGGATATGGTGTACGAACCGGGTGGAATACCGCAGTTGAAACAATGTGTACGTGTGGAGAAGTTGAGAACGAGACACTGATTCTGTAAGCTATACGTACTTGGGTTGCTTCGGTTGTTTGTGGGACCATGAATTCCTTCAAGAATAGGAAAGGGTGGTTGCATCCGAAAATTCGGTTAAAAGCGATGCAGGCTCTTCAAAACTGTCTGCCACTTTCACATACTCTGTCGAGCTCGAATGGATTATCTTCCAGGCCGTCAGTATGATAGGCATTGCTAAGTTCAGCTGAGATCTCATAAATGAGCGTATTGTTATTTGATATTCAAACGCCCGATCCACTGCTTTTGATAGCTCACAACTCCCGTCGGCAAACGGGGATAGGTACATAAGGGTTGGAGCTAACCTTGGAATAATATAAAAATAATATTAAGTTAATAAACTATTAATATCCGTTCCTGTTCGACCAAAAGGTCATAACAAAGTCAGTTCATGAAATGTCCCAATACGGTAATTTGGTCGCTCGTGGCAGTAGAAATTGGTATGGCCTCTGTGCCGCAGTGGTGGCGCGTACGACTCGTGAGTATTGAAAGACCCAATTTGTGAACCATCACTAACCTAAACTAGCTACATGGGAAATCGTTGGTAATCGTGAAGTTCCGAGTGAGTCTCGGCTGAGGTTCTTTTTTATTTCATTTATCTTTTCAGTGGCCTAGATGATATGAAAAATTCCCCTATGTAATGAGGCTCTTTCGGGGGGGCCAAAAGCCGCAGTCGCTAGGGCCGTTTGGGCTGCGGCCTTTCGCTAAAGACCAATAGAGCCCAAACTTGGTCGCACTCGAGCTCCTGATCACATTTGCCCTTTTTGTTTAGTCCTTTTGGCTTGTAAGGGTGCAGATCCACATGGATAAGTTGTCCTACTCTGGTTGCTCTCGCTTGCTTTGCGCGGGATACGATCCTCTTGGATTTGCCTTTGTGACAGGGTCCACAATCGAAGCATTCGGTCCGAACTTCTCGCCAAGCTTGTCCTTACTGATTCGTCCTTTGTAACTTCCTGCATGGCCTAGCCGGTGTTGTGCAAGCTCAGCAAAGATCAGTGCGTAGGAGACCCCGGCTCGTTGACTACTGGACAGGGTTCGGTTCATCGGCGAGCTTAATGAATGGGACGTACTTTCCGTCGAACATGTAGCCAATGGCTTGCTGATTGTCGTCTTTGATGACCATATCGTCCGGGTTCTAGCTGATCTATCGCTCTCGGCGTATCTTCAGGAAACTGAGCAGGTTGAATTTGTTTCCAGGCTTGTATTGATGCTCCACTTGAAGCTCATACCGGGTTCCGCCGGGGCTTCCTATTGGTAAGATGATATTTCCATGGCCATCTGCAGACGCTGGTTTCCGGGGTTTGAATCCCACCCAATAGCGGTCCCTGGTTTAGACACTTCATAGTAGACCTCTGGATCCTCTCTATCAGATGGTCCCACTCAGACCAACGCCGCCATAACATCGGCAAATAGTGGGATCTGTTGATTGCTGTCGAGGTACGCAGCCCCGACGATTGCCTCCATTATGGCGGCCGTGAGCTTGTTCCCAATGAAAAGCTAGGAAGGGTTTTCACAACAAACTAGTCAAGGCCGAGATAGAATCCTTACCTTGAACGATAGGCATTCCTAGCCCTATATTACATCATATCCGACATTTCTCCTAGTCAGAGCCGAAGTTATAAGTCTGTGAAATCAAGTAGCTAGGGCAAAACGCTCACCTCGCGTCTTGTTTCTATCCCGGCCAGAGGTCACAATGACCAAGTGGAGGACTTGTCGCTGACCAAGGCAAGAGTCTTATTGCCATCTTCGTTATATTTGCTGGACCTGGATTCCCTCATCCGAGGGAGCAGAAAAATATGGCGTTCCACCATAGTGTCCACAGGTACTGTGTCAATGACAACCTCGGAAAGCTTGGTGATGACAAAGATGGGATAGAAGTAGGCAGAAGTGACTGGATGATGAAGCTCCTATGGAGACTGAGCAAAGAGATGGAGCAAAATGGCGAAGCTAGCGAGTTTCCTGGTTCTCGTTTGACTGCCCTCCCGTCGGCAAACGGATATAGATATATAGGCCAGTGAGAGCTATATGAGAGAGAGAGAAAGGAAAGGTCTTGATCGTTGTTCCTAAAAGCAAGGCATTTATGCCTACATAGGTATGCCTTCCAATCGCTTATTTTGCAAACAAATGCCGGAGGAATCAGGAGAGGTCTCTCAGCACACATCCCAGGCTAGGTATCAATTGAGGGTTAAACTCTCACTTATAATCAATCTGGCCTTCATGGTAAAAATCATACACAAATGCAGTTTCTAAAAGCTTCCTTGTTAATAATTTCTAATCTCTTTAATCCTGTATCTTCTTCGTTATCTCCCTCGAGGGGCGAATCATGAGACCTATAGATAAAAATACCCTTGCAGATTATCTTCTGCACATATAGTTCTATTGTTATCTACCACCGATGACATTGCTCCTTCTGCAATTAACGACCGAAAAAGAGGTCCGGTGCGGTTGATATCGGGATGGTATGTGCTGGTAAAGCCTTAAGTAAAAAGAAAAAGAAAAGTAGTCTAACACTTATATGTCGGATGGTTCTCTACAGATTCTCTTTACAGATTCTCGATCTCACGCCTTGGGCTCAACATCTTCACCCTGGTTCCGCTCCAGGTCAACATCCTGGGCCATCGACTGTTCTTGGGCTAAAGTCAAGTTAGCAAGGTGTGCAAACCGCAATGAAAAAAGGACTTACTATTCCAAAGCTCAGCATAAATGCCGTCATGCTCGAGTAACTCGCGGTGTGAGCCCGTCTCTGCCACATGACCTTCCTTCAAGACCAGAATCTGGTCACTATCGGAAATCGTGCGTAGACGATGAGCCACAAACACGCTTGTGCGGCTCTTCTCTTTGAGAATGCTGTTGATATTCTGGAGGAGGGCCTGTTCAGTGTAGGTGTCTAGGGCGGATGTCTAAAAAGAGGGTGATTAGTTACCTCAATTAACCGCTCCGCTGCCGGAAAAATGGGGAAATGAAAACTTACTGCCTCATCGAAGAAGAATAGTTGCGGATCCTTCAGAATCAACCGAGAAATTGCCAGCCGCTGCTTCTCGCCACCGGAGATCATCATACCACGCTCACCAACTGCAGTTTGGTAGCCATCAGGCAAACGCTCGATGAGCTTGTGGATGTGGGCTCGCTCCGCAGCTCGGCGCACTTCTTCGTCCGATGCATCAATCCGCCCATAGCGGATGTTGTGAGATATCGTATCATTGAACAGCGGTGTGTCCTGCGGTACCACTCCAATTGTCTTGCGGAGGCTATCGAGGGTCACCTCGCGGATATCCTGGCCGTCGATCAAGATGCGGCCGGACTGGACATCATAGAAGCGGAACAGCAGACGTAGGATTGTAGACTTGCCGCAGCCGCTAGGGCCGACAATGGCGAACTTCTGCCCTGCGGGGATAGTGAAGGAGGCATTCTTCAGAATCGGTCGGTCTGGGTGATAGCCGAAAGTGACGTTCTCAAACCGGATTTGCCCGCCCTGCGTCAGCTGCAGCGGCTTGGCGTTGGGTCGTTCCTGGATGGTGACGTTCACCTTCTGCAGGTTGAAAAGCGTCTCCATGTCCAGCAGGGACTGGCGCAGCTCACGGTAGACAGATCCCAAGAAGTTGAGGGGGACCGAGAGTTGGAAGACCAGCTGGTTGACCATGACTAGGTCACCGACGCTCATGGATCCGTTTGCCACTCCATTGCAAGCCAGGTACATCATTGCGGCCAGCGCAGAGGAGAATATCATGTTTTGACCAGAGTTGAGAAATGCCAGAGATGTAGTCACCTTGATTGATGCATCTTCATACTTCTTCAAGGCCTTGTCATATCGTGCCACTTCGAATTTCTCGTTATTGAAGTACTTGACGGCTTCATAGTTGATGAGCGAGTCCACGGCAACAGTTGCTCCGCGATTATCAGCTGCGTTTGCCTGTCTCCGGAACTTTGTTCGCCACGCGGTTGTAGTGATGGTAAACGCGGTGTAAGCGATCATTGTTGTTGTTGTAATGGCGGCAAATTGGAGGCCATATTGATAAGTCTACAACACGTCAGAATGTCAGAACAAGAATATTCGTTGTCATTCGTTGTCGAATCTTACCAGGATACCGCAGACAAGCGAGATTTCAAGTGCTGTCGGGACCACATGGAAAACCATTGACGTTAAGAGGAAGCTGATGCCCTTCGTACCGCGGTCAATTGCGCGGGTCAGACCTCCGGTCTGCCGAGAGAGGTGGAAGTTGAGATCCAGTCGCAACAGATGTTCAAAAACATTTGACGCCACCTTCCGAATTGCCTTCTGCGCAACGCTAGCAAACACTGCGTTACGCAGTTCTTGAAACAACGTAGCTCCAATTCGGGTCACACCATCTAAGAGATATTAGCGAGAAGTCCCTTCTTCAATGCGTTGCCATCCTTACAAGCAATGATCATTGATCCAGCCACAGTGTAGGCGGTTCCACCAATGGCAGCAAAGTCTACATTCATGGAGTCGACAATGTTCTTGAAGTAGAAGGGGATCTCCACATTGAGGATCTGTATTGTGTTCATATTAGCATAGTTTAATAGAAACACAAAAGAAAAGGAGCTTGCCTTTGCGCCAATAAGCAGTGAAAGTGCTGTGCTGACACGTAGCTTCGTGCCCCAATCATTCTACCAGCTATAGTCAATAACCTGTTACTCTACATGAATGGCACTTGGGGTCTACCTTCGGCCACAGGTACTTGGCCATTTCTTTCATAATAGCCCAGTCTGCCTTCCTTTGTTCTTGTTTTCCGGTCATGGGCTCGCTCAGCAAGTCCTTCTTTTGTGGGGTCTTCGCATTGCCGCTATCTTCCGGCTTCTGGATGACATTGGCGTTTGCTAGTTGTGATGGGGCGGGGGTAGAGGTTGGAGTAGCTTTGACAGCCTGATCTTTATTGTCTGTGGATTGACTCCATAATGGATTGTTATTTGATGTGAACGCGCGCAGGTGTGTTCCATTGAGTCGTGTGCTTCGTAGCTTGCCGGCGAAGCTCGGATGGGCGAATTGCGCTGTACGCCAACACGGCGACCGTGCGGCTCTGAGCAGCATGGCCGCTTGATATAATAATCTTTGAGCTCCAGAGTACTTCGAGTCACAGCGGGTTCAAGGGCGCATAGTGGGAGCGAGTAAGAAAGATTGACATGCAGTAGCTATGTCTCCGATAGCTCGTGGGGGGAAATCGCCGGCTTCGGAGGAAAAACCGTCGCTCTCAATGCAAAGTGGAAGATAGTCGCAAATAGTCAAGCGAGCGATAGACACAAAATAGAATGAAAGAATCGAAGAACTTATAATAAAACTCCAAATGTCGCAATTCTGAGGGGGAGTTGTGTACCTTGTAGGCCGCATCGCTCTCGGGCCCACGATTTCCCGATTTCCCTTTCGTCACAACTGACGTAAATTCTCCCTTCGGTGCTTAAGTAGTTCTTACTCTTTTTTTTTTTCATACACAATGCGCCCCCTCCAAGGCGTTCGGACTTTGTCCTGGACTCGAGTTGTTCCTCGCGCCCACCGGCAAACCCGATGGATTCAGATTCGCGCCGCGCTCTCGGGAGTGCCTTCGGTTAATGGCGACAATATGCCACTGGCCAGCACGCCCAGCTCTGTTGAATCACGAGGTAATTGCAACTCCCCGGGGCTGTGTTAATGTGACGCTGACAACGAGGGCACAGATGCGCGATTCGATGTTGTCGGCGCTCCATATTCACTTCTTTCGGTTTCACTCTCGGCCTCGCAGAACCTATATACGCGACGAGGAACGCTGGTTGGATTGAGCGGGAAGGCGGATAATGTATGCGATCCCGCGATAATGTTGTGGAATGGTCATGTTAACGCATAATCTGCGCAGGTGGTTTCCACCTTGAGCGTTCTAGAACCCTTCCGGAGGGCTGTCGTCGGAGTACCCTTTCTTTATCAGAAGGTAAGATGCGCGGTGCAGATGAGGATCTAATGACAGCGATTGACAACTTCCTAGGTCTCCTCACCGAGTCCTGTCACAGCTCTCGTTTCCGTTCGATCGCCCAATACCTCCTTCGCTGTTGTGAACGTCAATGGCTCCGTGGACTGGATGGTTGCCCAAAGACGGGCTTTGCTTGCATGGACGGGCCGGTCTCTGAATATCAAGCCGACTGTCAACGCAAACCTGGTGAGTCAAGCTGTGATTGTATGAGAAGAAACAACAAGCTAATTTGCACAGAGCTTGTCTCATTGGGGTAGCTCCGAGGTGACTGGCAGAGGTTTAATAGCATTGGTTGGAAACGGACAGCTATACTCGGTCGAATTGAAGGATGGCGAGCAGTACATTGCGCATCCCAGGTATCACCTCCGCCGCGATTGCACGTCTGACGTCGCTAATATTTGCTCGGCAGCAATGTGGTCGCTTATACCATGGCCTCCAATCCTCCTCGCCCCTACCGTTTCAAGTCCACCACTCTCAACCTCCAAGTCCCGGGTCTGAAGACGCTACCAAGACTTCTACAAAATGCCAAGTTCGTTCGTGACGTGTCTGATTCCAAGGCATATAAAACCACTATGCAGTGGTTCCACAAGCTGCGTACCTGGTCTCGAATGACCATCTGGGGAGATAGAGTATGGCAGTCCCACATTGTCCTTCAATGTCCACAACTGACAATTTCATCTAGCTCTTCCTGCAATTCGACGGTCCCATGACTATCCTTGTGCAATCCCGCGGTCCTCGTCTCAACGATGTTTTATCCGCACAGGAAGCTAATGAGATCGCCAATGTGCCTAGTGGCTTTACCTCGCCCGCTCCTCGGTCCACCGAAAGCGAAAAGACAGAGAAAAATCCACTAGAGGACAAGCCAGAAGAAGAGAAGACAGAAGCCGAAAAGGCCGTCAGCAATATCTCTGGCCTGACCCGCTCTGTCGCGGAACTAGAGCAAGAAATCCAAGGAACGAGGCAAAGCGTAGCGAAGATCCGCAAAGATGGAAAGGTCGAAATTGAGGAAGTTGCTCGCACAAACTAAATAGAAAGACTTTCAAAAGGGTCGACTTGGAGGAGTTCTCTTCGCATTGGGTTTTGTACGGGCTAGAGCGGTCTCCAGTTAGGATGATTATCACTTCGCATCCTGTACAGTATGGATATTTCATTTATCTTGGCAATTGCCGACATATATCTTTTTTCTTTGCTTCTAACCAGTCCTGTAGTCTTTTAGTGGTCTTTTAGACGTACTGTTACGTGTTTCCTTAGTTGGATTTTTTTATAGATATTGTTCCCTTTATTAGTGCTGCAGCTAGAAGTATAAGAAGAATTAGCCGTCACGATCTGCATATCTCACATGTTTATATGCAAGCTATATGCCAGAGCTCGAGAACTACCTACATATGTAGTTAGGGTTTTATATTGAAACCAAGCAGTTTTATCAATCCGTACGAAAATAATTACACTCATGCCCGGGTACAATCTGCCGGGCAAAAAGCGGGTTGTCCTGGTCCCTGAAAGCCCTCGTGCACCACGCCAAATCCATTACTTGTATCCCAATGTTCAGGGAAGAGGTTCCTCTCCCGAGGTCGAGGTCATTACTGACAGATAGAACTTGAGATACAATTACATTCCCATTTTCGAGGTCCATCTATAGGCCCAAAGACATTAAAAATCTACTATGTTTTTTCCGTTGCTTTCGTGCGGCAAATTAGAAGGCTCAATATCCCCCAGTATCACTGGTGATTTATAGCCGGAATAATATGATTAAGTTGTTTCAGCTGCATCTAACCAAAATGATATGTTTCATGTGTTTAAACACCGTATTTGATTTCCCAAACGAGCAATATACCGGATGATCCCCTCGGTCTTCGGGCTAACGCAGATATGTCCGAGCACTGTATGTAGTTACCCCTATCTCCCAGGAGTATCTCGGAAATAATTGACCAACCGCAGTGAAGCGACGATGCTCTGGACTAGTCACGCCAATTACCACGTGAAAGTAATAAATAAGCTACTCGGACTTAAGCTGGAGACCGATTGACCGAAGTCGTATTTTTTTCTCCAAATGACTTTTCCCTTAAATATCACCATAAGCATAGGCTTGGTATCTTTAAACTTCAAACTTGTAGCTCTGAATATTCTAATCTGCAGCCCCTGGAGCTTTTTAGGACCAAACGGCTGGGCCGACGTTGAGGTGCGTTTTGAATCGAACTTTGTCCAACGCGTAACGTTGTTTCTTTAATTTTATACTTCCCGTCTTCTTTTGGGACCTATAAATCGGTGATCTTGTTTCAAAATGCAATATATCTAATACCTCAAAGCAGATTACAAACAGTCCCAGTCTATAAACCGAACCTTTATCTGAAGCCAACAAATATGGCCAATAATGAGACAGAGGTTGCTGCCTCTATCGACAGTGCTACCACTACTCCCGCTGTGAGTGTCCATGGAAATAACGACCCTGAGAAAGGACTCGCGCCACCGGAAAAGGACGAATCACAACCACCTACCGAGAAGTCAATTGCTGCTGGCCCAGCACCAACAACACTGGCCATCGGCCCACCACCTGATGGAGGTGCGCAAGCATGGCTGGTCGTGCTAGGAGCTTTCTGCGGTCTATTCGTCAGCTTTGGCTGGATCAACTGTAAGTACTGTGTGCCGCCTGAATACAAGAGACCAACAAGATACTGATATCATCCAGGCATCGGAGTCTTCCAAGCATACTATCAAAGTCACCAATTGAGCGAGTTCTCCACCAGCACAGTAACATGGATCACATCGCTAGAGACGTTCATGATGTTCTTCTGCGTGCGTATATCATTCCCCTACCACCAACACCCATCCTAACATCCTCCCCAGGGCCCAATATTCGGAACTATGTTCGACAGCTACGGCCCGCGCTGGATCCTCCTCCTCGGCACAATCCTCCATGTCTTCGGCCTGATGATGGCTTCCCTCTCAACAGAGTACTACCAATTCATCCTTGCGCAAGGAATCTGCAGCCCAATCGGGGCAAGCGCCATCTTCAACGCCTCCGTCAACTCCGTCAGCACCTGGTTTGCTAAGCGTCGTGCTTTCGCTCTCGGTGTAACAGCCGCCGGATCCAGTCTGGGCGGAGTCATCTTCCCTATCATGGTCACCCGACTAATTCCTGAAGTCGGCTTCCCCTGGGCGATGAGAATCTGCGCCTTCCTCATTTTGTTCATGTTGGGTATTGCCAATCTCACGCTGAAGTCGAGATTACCGCATCGCCCCAAGCCATTTGATATCCTGAGTTTCCTGAGGCCGTTGGCTGAGCTCAAGTTCGCACTTACGCTTGCTGGTGCCTTTTGCTTCTTCTGGGGCATGTTCTTACCGTTCACTTTTGTTATTACCCAGGCGGAGAGATATGGCATGTCTTCCAGTCTGGCCGGGTATCTGATTCCGATTTTGAATGCCTCTAGGTAAGTTTTCTTTCCCTCTCTAGTCCATATATCTCACCTCGTTGACGAACTAACAAAATCCGAATAGTATCTTCGGCCGCACGCTCCCAGGTTATCTGGCCGACAAGGTCGGCCGCTACAATATGATGGTTATAACAACTTTCTTCTCGGCAATCCTTGTCCTGGCCCTCTGGCTACCGTCAAAAGGCAATGCCCCAGCAATTGTGTTCAGCGCCCTGTACGGTTTCGGCTCTGGTGCGTTTGTCTCACTTGCACCAGCTCTTGTGGCGCAAATCTCCGATCTTCGCCAGGTAGGCGTGCGTAATGGCACTTTCTTTGCTGTCATCTCGTTTGCGGCCTTGACTGGCACTCCCATTGGAGGTGCTTTGGTGCCGGATGTTCTCCATGGCAGCTACACTCGGCTACAGATCTTCTGTGGTGTTGTCATGATTGTGGGGTCGACTTTGTTTGTTCTTGCCAGGGGAGCTGTTGGTGGGTTTAAACTTACGAAGGTATAGTACTTGTGCCTTGCCAAGTCTCTTTTGGTCTTTTTAGATGTTTTTTCTTTGATAGATATTCTCCCCTTGGATAAAAAGAATTAGCAGAATCTATGTGATTAGATAGATACCCCCTCTACTTTCTCTTCTTCCTCTTCTAGCAATAACCCAGCTTTGCCAATCTAAAATGTCTAATGAAATGAATGGAATCTACATATGTAGATATTCGAAGGCACAGAACTAACGTTTCAACGGCTGACGCGGGTACCTAAAAGTCCCAATCAAAATGCGGCTAAGCCTTGGCCTCCTTAGCCTCCCACCTGGGACATCGCGTTGTTTTATAAAACCTCGTTACCAACATATTGTCCTTAGTCTTTCTGGCCAAGAAAGCCCTTGTCCTAACATGGCTTCAATTTTCTCAGGATTGTACGATCTACTGCAGGCCGTTAGGGGGGTGAACAGCACCTTCCTCACAGACCAACACGTCCCCGGCGCCAATCTGACAGGCAAATGGATTATTATATCCGGATCCAACAACGGCGTCGGCTTCGAAGCAGCAAAATCTTTCGCGTCATGGGGCGCAAACCTAATACTCGCCTGCCGCGAGCCACCCGCATGGGAACTGCATCCAACAGCCGCCGTGAACGAATGTAAAGAACTCGCCGCGGCGCACGGCCATTCGTCCACAATCGAATGGTGGCAAATCGACATGGCAGATCTCAGCAGCGTCGATGCTTTCTGTCAAAGATGGCTGCAATGCGACCGCGCTTTGGACTTGCTATGCAACAACGCCGGCATCGCAGAGTCTACCACGCAAACCCATATAACGAAGGATGGGTTCCAGTTGGTTCATCAGGTCCGTTTCTCTATTGCTCTCTTTAAACTTCTAGTACATACGAACAGACACTGATGAAAACCTCCCAGGTCAACTTCTTATCTCACGTGCTGTTGACCCTTCGACTCCTACCATCTCTGGCTCGCAGTGCCGAGCCGAGAGTTATCTGCACGACCTCATGCTACCACCATCTAGGAGTCTTCGATCTGGATCATGTTAATAGTGAACTGAGCTGGAAGGGAAACGATTATCAGAATAATAAGCTTTTCTTCCAAATGTGGGTTGCAGAGCTGCAGTCGAGACTCCTCAAATACCCCGAGTACCTCCACATCACAATCAACGGGGTCCATCCCGGCTTCGTGGCTTCGGGTATATGGGACGGTCTTGAGGACGCGGGTAAGGCCCCGGGTGGCCTGAACTTGCTTTTGCGGTATGTTGCTATCACGTCACAGCAGGGTGGATTGGCTATTGCCCATGCAGCTACTAGTTTGGAGTTTGGACCAGATCCTGAGAAGCAGGGTGTCGGTGCAGAAAATGGGCGTGGCGGAGGGAAGTATATCAATCGGATATGGGAAGGGCCTGCGAAATCTTATTGTAACGACTCGGAGGCTAGATCGAGATTGTGGATCAAACTGAATGAGGAGCTCGGTTTACAGGAGAAGGGCCTTCTGACGGTTTTGGGTCTTTAATCCAACGAACTCTGTGCTAACAAGCTGTCCGAAGGGTTATACTAAAAGAGGAGCGAATATTACGAAGGGTCTTAAAGAAATACTACCTGGAGAAAGGCCTCCTAAGCCATACCTTCTGAGGGCCAACCGTAGGGAAAGGACAAACCTGAAAAGATCTTGGGTCGATGATTGTCATGAAAGGGTTATGACAACAAAAGGGTGCAATGAGGATGTTCCCGAAGAGCCCCAGATGGATTCAAAAAAATAGACCAGAATACCTTGCAAGAGTATAGACACGAAAACGCCATAGCACCGTCGCTGAAGGATGATGCATGAAAAGAAAAGAGAAAAAACCACTATGCTCCGGTATATGCCGCCCAAAAATGCAGCAATTAAGCCAATACTCCTTGTCTCATGTTCTCGACCGTCTTGACCCCAACACCTTTCAGCTGGCTCAGTTGTGCCAGGCTGTTGACCTGGAATTGGGACTGGTCTGAGACGGTTCCACTATCGGTTGTATCCAATGATGTCTGGTCCATCTCGCAGAGGCAATCAACAAGAGCCTCTGCCTTCTTAGCGCCCACTCCCTTGAGCAATTTGATTTGGCTCACATCCCGCGAGTTGATAATAGAGAGAATATGCATAGTCCGCGGAGAGGTGAATGGGTCCTCACTATCAAGGAGTTCGGGGGCTTCCTCGACCTGACCGAGCTTGGCTGCAGCACGCTTCTTGTGTTTTGGACGAGGAGCATCCTCGTCGCTTGAAAAGCCAGCATGACTCTGGTCCATATAGTCATTCTCTGCTTGGCGTTTGCCTAGTGTTTGTGTCACGTCCCTCTTGAGGGAGAGCATGCTACCCAACCGCCCCTTGGGCGGGGAATGGGGTTTCTCTTCCCAAGTCTTTGCATGAACGCGCTCCTTCAAGGCAGCAATCTTGCCTGCCAGCTTCTCGTTGTGAGGGAAGTGGGGAGCTGCCAGCTGGTACATTCTCAAGGCTGAGCTGTCTTCACCACGTGCCTGATGTTGTTTAGCCATCAGCAGGTATGACAGACCCTCGGCCCGCGCATCTTCTGTGCCATCAATGCGATGCTCCAATTGCTCCAATCGCTTTCGCAGCTGTTCATTAAGCTCATGGACTTGCGTCTGCCTCGATTTTTCGCTCACAGCACGCACAGCTAAGATCTCCTCAACCTTCCTCTCGACCATCTCCTCGATCCTAGCAGCCGAGAAGTCGTCATGGCGCGCGGTGGGTTGCGCGCCCAGAGGCAGACGAGCGGGCTTCAATGACGGAAGGCCGGAGGGAGCGTTGGAAATCGAGGTTCGTTTCGGTGCTTCCGGTTTCCGAAGCTGGCCAATAAGCTTGGGTTGCGGCTTGTCCGAATATACGCTGAATGCCTTCACGGGTTTGCCGTCTTCCTTTTCTGCGGAGCCCTTTGTAGCGGGTGCCGGCATATTGACATTCACAGAAGCTGTCAGTGCGCGCAAAGGTTGCCGCGGGCCCGTAGATGGCCGGGTCGATGGCCGGGCCGGACCCTTGAACATGGGATCATTTTCTACTTCCCGGACCTCGATCTTCCGGGTCCGATTGGCGACATTCAGGGAGCTGATTGTATCGAGTTGGTAAGACCGGACAGGTGCGAGGTTGAGAATCATCACTGTCAAGCCATTGTTCTGTCCCAAAGACAAAATTCTTGTCATCTTGGACTCGCGGTATGGGATGCGATGCTGCTTCTTGTTGATAGCCTCGACACACTGCGCCAGAACGAAAAGACTCTTGTTGATGCTAGCCGATTCGACCATGCGCTCTTTATCATTCTCCGTCCGTCGGTTGTCTTCGGATCCCGCGAGATCAATAGCGGAAGCAGTGCTGACGCAGACCTTGTCAGGAGAGGTGACGGTCACCTTGACACCGAGAATGGCGTGAGATCGAGAGGAATGGGCGTTGAGCTACATTCGAATGTTTAGTAAGAGAATGTAGACCCAAGCTTTTGGCATAATATCATACCTTCGTCGCGGAGGTGGATCTGTTAGTGTTGGCCTGGTCATAAAGCTGCTCAAACTCCTTCAAAGTGGTACACGGCTTCTCACTCAGCCCACAAACCACGGTTTTGCCGCCATTATCCCGGAGGGGAAGACCTGACATTGTGCGCTTCTCGGGCGGCTCGAACAAGTCATACACCTTGTCGTTGTAGATTTCGTAATAACTCAGGCCAACCTGGACTGTCGTCTCCCCATTGCTATCCTTTTCAATTTTCCGACTGCGCCTGTAGATGCCACTGAGTAGCCGCGGGATTACACCTCGGTCTGCCAGGGTTTTCCCGCCACGCATTGTGTGTGTTTTGCCTGTTCCGGTGACACCGTATGCGAAGAGGGTCACGTCGAATCCGTTGAGAAGATGCTTAATTGTTGGCGCAACTGTCACTCCGATCAATATGCTGCCCAATAGCAGGCCTGGTGAGCTCTGAACAGCAACTCACCTTCAGCATCAAACAGCTCCTGCTGCGACACCTCCGCGTCGTACACGCCATTGAACTGGAACGCATACTCTTCCCCCTCATTCTTGGGGTTTGGAATCCGAATCACATTATCCCTGTCCCTCAATGCCGCCAATTTCTTGTCGCTCTTTTCACTTTTGTTGCCAATTGTTGACTGGCGTGATTTGGACTCGGCGGTAGCTGAAGATCCTGTACGAACGATCACATCGGCCTCCCGTTCGGACTTGAGAAGGGGACGGATACGCGCGACAACTCGAACACTCATTTTGGCGGGGTGTTTAATTCAATTGTCGTGTGATGGTCTAGGTCCTGGACGTCAGGGATGCAATCCAATCCAAAAGAAACCGAAGGAATGACTAGAACGAAGTGTAAAGCCAAAAAAAGAAAAAAGAGAGCAATAAAGTCCTCCCCGAAAGCCAAAGAAACGAAACTAACTACTTGGTGTATGCAGAACTGAAGGTTTTGGAACGTGTGGAGGAGTTCTCTTGTGCAGCAGCCGATGTGGTTGGTGTTGGCAGGGCAACCGCATCTTTGCTCTACAACATAGCTTATAGAGTACGTACGTTCCTAAGACTCGAGCACTACAACGGGGATATATAATTGCTCCAATGCAATCTAAGCAAAGTAATCAACTTGAAAGTCTCTTGGTCTCATCATTACAATTGACAGCACAGTATAATCTATGGACGTGCTCTAGGTTTGGACTAAGGGTTAAGTGTTCATTTCTAACCAGCCCAAATACCTGGAGATATATAACGGATCAGCTTATTGAGAATAAATATCACATACACATCACTGAACATTGATATCCAAACCGTCTTGTACTCCATATCAGATGTTGTCGGACAGTATAAAAACACGCCTCTCGTCACATGTTCCATGGCCTCTGATTGGCTGGAGCACCACGACCTAAAGGCCACCGTAGACCATCATCACCGCTTCTCCCACACTCCCTTGGTTTCTTCTGGTGAGCTGTCCTTTGCTTCGCTACTGCATTTTGTGATACTTCTGGGTTTTCTAAAGGTACAGCTTGCTCTGTACGCAACCAGGTTCACCCTGTTCCGTTGACGATAAACTGATTGTGGGGTTCCAGGAGCTGTTACCACCCGCCTCCTCATATCGATTCCACCCGCCGACTTCGTGACGAGCGCAACCCTCTTTTCCTCCCAACCCTTAAGTGCGACTAAACACAACCTACTCGACTCTAATGGCAGCACCACAGGGAGGATTCCCTCCCCAGGAAGGGTATGGCCAGCCCGCCTATGGCTCCCCAGAACCCACACAGTCCCCGGTCCATGGGCAAGGCGCGCCTGCACCTGCCGCAGGTGGAAAAAAGAAGAGAGCGTACGCTGGTGAGGCATTCGATTTCGGCTCCGGCGCCAATGCCGCGCTCGGTGGCCAACCCACGGCTGGTGGTGCTTACGGGGCCTACCCTCAGCAGCCCCAAGTTGCAGGGTACCAACAGCCCGTCTACGGTGCGGACCCCAGCCAGATGCAGCCTGTAGCACCATCATACGGCGCGCCTGCTGCCGCTGATGTCTCGCAGATGACACAGCAATTCGGCGGAATGGGCATGAGCGAGCCTCATCACATGCCGCCCCCGCAGCCTGTGGCCCAAGCCCCTATGCGACCTCAAGTCCAGCTCAACCAGCTTTACCCCACGGACCTTCGATCCCAACCTTTCAACGTCGCTGAGCTGGACTATCCCCCTCCTCCGATTATCTTGCCTCCGGGAGTATGTATAGATGCCATATTGCGCATGTGGTCGATATGCTAACAATCGACAGACAAGTGTTTACCCATCGCCCGAAGCCAATTGCCCTACGAAATATATGCGGTCCACACTCAACGCTGTCCCCACGACCAACTCACTTCTGAAGAAATCAAAGTTGCCCTTTGCCCTTGTCATCCAACCGTATGCTTCTCTCCACGACGCCGAGGACCCTATTCCTGTGATCCCAGACCAAGTCATCTCACGATGCCGACGTTGTCGCTCCTATATCAACCCCTTCGTCACCTTCCTCGACCATGGCCACCGCTGGCGCTGTAATATGTGCAACCTGACGAACGATGTGCCACAAGCCTTCGATTGGGACTCTACACTGCAGAAGCCCGCCGATCGTGCGCTACGTGCGGATCTGAACCACAGTATGGTCGAATTCGTTGCGCCGCAGGAATACATGGTCCGACCACCTCAACCTCTGGTATACCTCTTCTTGATCGATGTGAGCTATGCATCGGTGACCAACGGTCTTTTGGCCACCACCGCTCGCACCATCCAGGAGAGCCTTGATCGCATCCCGAACGCAGACCGACGTACTCGCCTCGGCTTTATTGCAGTGGATTCAAGCTTGCACTACTTCAGCATTCCCCGGGATGAGTCAGGGTCCTCAGAGCCCCAGATGTTGGTTGTCAGCGATCTGGACGAGCCTTTCCTCCCCATCCCTGGTGATCTCCTGGTGACGCTGAGCGAATGCCGGGAGAACATCGAGGTCTTCCTCCGCAAGCTGCAGGAAATGTTCCAGAACACCCAAAACAACAGCTGTGCCATGGGTGCGGCATTGCGAGCTGGCTACAAGTTGATCTCCCCCGTCGGTGGAAAGATGACTGTTCTGAGCTCATCTTTGCCCAACACTGGTCACGGTGCGCTCACTATGAGAGAAGACAAGAAGGTGCTGGGCACCAGCAAGGAATCGAGTCTGCTTCAAACCGCAAACTCTTTCTACAAGAGCTTTGCAGTCGAATGTTCAAAGGCTCAAGTCTCTGTGGATATGTTCCTCTTCTCATCACAATACCAAGATGTGGCATCTTTGAGCTGCTTGCCCCGCTACACTGGTGGTCAGACCTACTTCTACCCTGGCTGGAACGCTGCACGAACTGAGGATGCCATGAAGTTCGCCCGTGAGTTCTCCGACTACCTCTCTTCGGAGATTGGTCTGGAGGCCGTTCTCCGCGTGCGCGCAACCACCGGTCTGCGTATGAGCACCTTCTACGGCAACTTCTTCAACCGTAGCTCGGATCTCTGTGCTTTCCCAGCCTTCCCTCGTGACCAGGCCTACGTGGTCGAGGTGGCCATTGATGAGACGGTTACAAAGCCGGTTGTCTGCATGCAGGCGGCCGTCCTTCACACTACCTGCAACGGTGAACGTCGTATCCGTGTCTTGACCCTGGCACTTCCAACGACCCAGAACCTGGCAGACGTCTACGCCTCGGCTGACCAGCAGGCCATTGCCACATTCTTCAGTCACAAGGCTGTCGAGCGCACATTGAGCAGCGGCCTCGAGCCCGCTCGTGAGGCTCTTCAGGCCAAGATCGTCGAGCTTCTGCAGACCTACCGCAAGGAGCTTGCGGGTGGTAGCGTTAGCGGTGGTGGTCTCCAGTTCCCTGCCAACTTGAGAGCCCTGCCTGTCCTGTTCCTTGCGATGATCAAGAACGTGAGTTTTCTCTATTTCGCTTGTGATCAGCTGTTCTATACTAATCGTTTTTTTTCTTCTAGCTTGGTCTTCGGAAATCCGCTCAGATCCCCACGGACATGCGGTCCGCAGCTCTCTGCCTTCTGTCAACCCTACCCCTGCCGCTTCTGATCCAATATGTTTATCCGAGAATGTACTCACTCCACGACATGCCCGACAATGCGGGTTTGCCTGATCCACAGACTGGCGAAATCCTCCTGCCCCCTTCTGTCAACTTGTCTTCGGGCCGCCTCGTGCCCTACGGTCTGTACCTCATTGACGACGGCCAGACCCAGTTCCTCTGGGTTGGCCGCGATGCTGTTTCACAGCTTATCGAGGATGTCTTTGGCGTCCCTGACAAGTCGCAGTTGCGGGTGGGCAAGCAAACCCTCCCCGACGTCGAGAACGAGTTCAACCAGCGTGTGCGGGCCGTGGTTGAGAAGAGTCGGGACCACCGGGCCAAGGGTGTGGGCAGCATGATCGTGCCTCACCTGTACGTCGTTCGCGAAGATGGTGAGCCCGGTCTGCGTCTCTGGGCTCAGACCATGCTGGTTGAGGACCGTGCCGACCAAAGTGTCAGCTTGGATCAGTGGATGGGTTCCTTGCAGGAAAAGGTTTGAGCCCTCTGATCTGGCCATCGTATCGGTCAGCACTGACGATTTGCTCTCAGGTCGTGCAGTAATGAGAAGCTGCCCGGTTGGTCTCTGTGGACCATGGAATTCGTGTTTTCGCGAGTCCTCCCGCCTGTACCATTACGTTGGGAAAGATTGCGTTTGGCTTTCAATCACGGCGGGCATGTTTGGATTATCTAGTACTAGTAGATCGCTGGGTTATAGTTGACAGGCGATAGACGCTGATCGCATCTATGAAGAATTAACGGTATCATTTTCCCACTCTTATTTTATAGTCCCATGAGGATTCCCACGGGACATGGGAAATGGCAAGGCCTAAGATGGTCAGCAGTAGGAAATCGGTGTCAATCAAACCAAATGATCTATTTTTTCTTGAAAAGAATAGTGCTCAGTCCGCAATTCAGATCTAGTAGTACTCGGGTAGTCGTCTAGTGCACCAAACACCCATACTGAGACAGCTTATCGTGCTCGACGGCGAAGCATCAGACATGAACGAATTCCAGCTCGATCTTCTTGGACTCTCTTGGGTTTATATCACGACCTAACGGTTTTTAGCTCCCTAGCTAAGTACGCCGGCTTCACCTGGATAGTCTTACATATATATAACAAAGACAAAGCATTCCAGTACTTCTAAGCATTAGAAGAGTCCGCACAGTTTCTATTTTGAATGTTTTAGCGCCTTTCCATTATGATTTAAGCGTAAGCCCTGGAACAGGTCAGTAACCACCATTGCCCTGATAAAGCGGCACCCCGATTGGAAACATCGCACGGTCCCCAAGATCCGGTAATCCATATATAGACAAGCATATATAGACCCGATGACTCTTGTTCTCCCTGAGATTATGTCGGCGTCTCAGACCCAATTAATGGGATACCCCTTGAGACTAGTGAAACTAGGAGTGGTGGGTTCTCCAATCATGATGAAACTGACACCTCCCTATGTGGTGAAGCGGGAAAGTTGATTGTGACAAGTTTCGCCAGGTGCAGTAGCGCCGTCCATTGAGCGCGACATGTGAGAGACTTTGGCGCTGTGGCGGAGATCCCCTAGATCGCTCTGGTATGGGAGTACTTGCAGACTACTTCGTAATATATGGATGACTTTAGTCAGTACTAGGTACCGGACATGTAGTTGTGGAGATATGTGATCCAAGGTTCCATGTCCATCAAACCAGAGAAAGCGGACAGGGGGGAAAACAGCAACAGACCTCGAGGTCTTACTCTCTCGACTTTGTGCTTCCTCTCTCTACCCTTGTCTAGGATCATTCCTAGTCTCTCCCCATTTTTCTTTCTTAATTGATGCCAAGTTCTGGTTTCTCAATTTGAACCACTTTGTTTCATCCACCAAATTGCTGGAGCCGCCTCACAGCTCTCTGCCCCACCACTTCCCCTACGGCCCGCTGTTTCTCCAGGTTCACCTCTTCTCCTCTCCTTTCTTCTCTATTTTCTCCCCTTCATAGACGAAAGGCGAGACAAGGTGAGTCCTAATGCAGCCGACCCGTTGTGATCCCGCAGAGGATGACCCCGCTTCGGCGTCTTGGCTCATCCTCTCCATGCACTCGAGCATCATCACCATCAATTCCACTAACATGCCACGCTCTTAGGCTCTGAACTTGATACCGTGATCCCAACCTCACAGACACCTTGACCTGTGATCTTCGCATCCCAACCCGATGTCTTGGGTCTAGACGCGGTACCTGTCACATCTTCCCCACCCGGAGCTTCGTACGACCAAGTCCCTCTCTACCTTTCTACACCTCGCCTTTCATTCCCTGAGATCTCACCGACCTTTGAAACCAAATCCAGTCGAGACTTGAGCACCTTTCCGAAACACCAATTCGATTGCAGCGCAGACGAAAGTAAGCTTAATTTCCCGGTTTCCGTGCGTTGTCGTTGCGTTTGTTCCCCCGCGTTGGTACTTGCGGTCGAATTGCTCGAGCTTTTTGAGCGATTGACCTCAGGTGCTATTGACTTGCGTTCCCTGGAATTTGAATCGCCAAGTTTTGCGCGATTCCATCTACTGTTTTCAATCCCCGGTTCCCGTTTGATTACCCATGGACTGTGTTCGGCCTTTTTTCCACTGGATCCCACGGATTTTTGAAGCTGACAATCACCCGAAGGCTGAGTCTACCAAAGAAACCGTTCTCGAAATGGGTCAGCAAGGCCCTCCCGCGGGAGGATCCCGGAAGATCTCCTTCAATGTTTCCGATCAATATGAAATCCAAGATGTCATCGGCGAGGGCGCCTATGGTGTCGTCTGGTAAGTAATACGAGAATTTTTTGTCAAGGCTCATCTAACCCCGTACAGCTCTGCCATTCATAAGCCCTCCGGCCAGAAGGTTGCCATCAAGAAGATCACGCCATTCGATCATTCCATGTTCTGCCTGCGTACACTGCGTGAGATGAAGTTGCTCCGATACTTTAACCACGAAAACATTATCTCCATCCTGGATATTCAACGACCCCGTAACTACGAGGGATTCAATGAAGTTTATCTGATTCAAGTACGTCGAAGTATGCCATCTGCAAGATGCGCATGTATGGGCTATGCCGATTTTTTTGCTAACAGAGTGCAGGAGTTGATGGAAACAGATATGCATCGGGTTATCCGCACACAAGATCTCTCAGACGACCACTGTCAATACTTTATCTACCAGACCCTGCGTGCGCTCAAGGCAATGCACTCAGCAAATGTTCTCCACCGAGACTTGAAGCCCTCGAATCTTCTGCTCAATGCCAACTGCGATCTGAAAGTCTGCGACTTCGGTCTGGCTCGCTCGGCCGCCTCCACCGACGACAACTCCGGATTCATGACAGAATATGTGGCCACACGTTGGTACCGTGCACCGGAGATCATGTTGACGTTCAAGGAATACACCAAGGCTATTGATGTGTGGAGTGTCGGCTGCATATTGGCTGAGATGCTGAGCGGAAAGCCTCTCTTCCCTGGCAAGGATTGTATGTTTCCGCTTCTCTCTTCAAGCAGCAACAACAATAACTAACATATAGATCTAGATCACCACCAGCTGACCCTCATCCTGGATGTCCTCGGCACACCCACGATGGAAGATTACTACGGCATCAAATCCCGCCGCGCCCGCGAATACATCCGCTCCCTCCCCTTTAAGAAGAAGATTCCCTTCCGTGCACTTTTCCCCAAGAGCAACGACACGGCTCTAGATCTGCTCGAGAAGCTGCTCGCATTCAACCCGGCTAAGCGTATCACCGTCGAGGAAGCCCTGAAACACCCCTACCTCGAGCCGTACCATGATCCCGAAGATGAGCCCACTGCACCGCCCATTCCCGATGGATTCTTCGATTTCGACAAGAACAAGGATGCTCTGAGTAAGGAGCAGCTGAAGCGTGAGTCTACCTTTCGCGTCTGGTTCTCGTCTTCCTTTGGTATATTCACTAACCCTCTTCCAGTCTTGATCTACGAGGAAATCATGCGGTAAATCTGATTTGACTACTTTCAAATGATATTAGGTTGGCTAGGAGGATGTTGGATTCTATTCTGCACGCACTTTGACTTGACAGCGTGACTTGACACATGTTAGAGATAGCAGGGCAACTCGAAATGTGATTATGAGTGTTCAAGTAAAACAGCTGACTCGCCCCGTAAGACCACTTGCACTGCACCTCTGCTAGTTCCTAATGCCCAATTTTATATACTTATAGTTCCAGCCTACATCTAGTTATATACAACCACCTACACAAACATACAAAGTACGTATTTATATACACCCATCCATATCTATATCCACCCCTCAAATCCTACCCACAAACTTCTCAATCCCTTCAAGCACACCCTCAGGACTAGGCTTAGGTGCACAAACATGCGCCTCAAACCCGAACTTCTCACGCAGATGATCCCGCGTCGTAGGCCCAATAGTAGCAACAAAGACCTGCCGCGTCCCAGTCCCAGTCCCAGAACCAGCAAAAGGCCCCAGCCCAAGAACCCTTAACATAGCCTCACACCCGGTCGGCGAGAAAACAACCACCCAAACAGGCCCAGCACACCTACCTACGACATCCGCGAAATCCCCCTCAAAGGACTCCATCACACCAGTCTCGTACACAACAAGCTCCTCGACGCAAACCCGCTTCTCAACAGGTAATGCTTTATCCATTAGTGTTTTCGGGATGATATCCCTACGCACTTCGCCAACAAGGAAAAGGAGAGATGGCTTGTGTGTCGGGTAGAGGGAATCGTAATGCGAGAGGATGAAATGTGCGAGGTTCTCTCCGGTTCCTGTGTCTGCGCCGTGGATACTTGCGTCTGGGAGGTGTTTGTCGCGGAGGGTTGTGAGCGTGCGGGCTGTGGCTGGGCCCACGGTGTAGAGGATTAGGGGTTGGGATGTTGGGATGTTGAATTTGACTGGAAGTTTGCCGTCGTGTTAGTTTGGGGTTCTGGCTTTGGGTTTGCTGTGGGATGTGTTTTGGTGTTGTATGTACCGTCTTTTTCGTCTTCGATCATCTGCGCGAAGCCTTCGACTGCGCGTTGGCTGGTGAAGACTAGACCGCCGTATTTTCTGGGCGTTGATGCATTGTTGAATGCACCGGTGCTGAATAGGTCGCGCACTTGGGTGAGGCTGTTTTTAAGGAAGCGGTGTTCTAGGACTGGGATGAAGGTCGGACTGTAGTTGTGTGCGGAGAAGAAGTCTTCGTAGCCATCGTGTGGGGAGGATTTTGTTTTGAGAAGGAGGATGGGTGTTGGAGGCATTGCGCGAGGTTGCTTTGGATTGCGAAGGTGAAGGTGAGAGTAGGTGGGATTGGAGGTGGGATTGATATAACGTTATCAAGTGCGGGGAGTTCTGGGAAATTGGGTTTTTGATACTAAACCTTTCTAGGAATACATACAATAGGTTTTATGGAAGTTCAATCTTCATATATGTAGTTAATGCGCTTGCCTACTGGTCTACACTAAATACTCTGCACCATCCAACACAAGGAAATCGAATTTGAGTCTAGGAAGGCTTATTTACACATTAAAAACACAAACTACTGGTCATCCAGCACATGCAGGTATCGCTTGTCCTCCTGGCGCTCGCGCTCCGTGGAGGGAGGCAGATCGTAGTAAGAGGCACTACGGTAGCCCTGCAGGTAGTGGAAGGTCAAGTTGGCCAGATCGGCGGTCTCCTCCATGCCCAGGTCCTTGAAGGTCTTGGCTGTCGGGTCAATCACTTGGTCGATGAACTCGCGCTCCACCTCGTCGGCGGACAGGGTGTGCCACCAAAGGAACTTGTTCATGTAGTGGGCGAAGGGCTTCAGGATGGCCTTGGGGACGTTGATGTGACGGCGCTTCTTGATGATTTCACGGTCGACCAACTCGGCGATCTCGGCGGTGGAGTAGTTCTTAGGACCGTACAACTCGAAGGTTTGGCCGGCGGTGCTGTCGTCGTGCAGCATACGCTCCAGAGCGGAACCGACATCAATGGCCTAGACGGGGTTAGTTCAATACAACTTGTCCACCCCGGGAGAATAACTTACGTGAACGGGCCAGTAGCGCTCCTGCATGTGGTTGGCGGTGAAAACGTTGCCAACCTTGGCCAGCTTGTGGAGCAGGTTGTCCTCAAAACCGAACATCGGCGCAGGTCGCACGATTGTGGTCTCGGGGTAGATCTTGCGGACGATCTCCTCACCCCATGCCTATATGTCATCAGCAATCCCATTCTCGTATAGTTCCAGTAGGTATGCTGACCTTGGTGGCAAAGTACTCGGAAGGCGAGTCACGGCGAGCGTTGTAGGAAGAAACGTGGATGAAGCGGTCGACATCGTACTTGGCAACAGCGTCGGCAATACGCTCGATACCGTCGACATGGACGTCCTCGTAGGAGAAGTTCCTGGGTCGTTAGAAACCACTTATTCATGTATATCACACATTGTAACTCACTTGGTGGGATATTGGCGACCGACAAGGTTATAGACAACATCGGAGTGACGAACGCTCTCCTCAATGGACTGGGTGTTGCGCAGGTCGTATTCCTATACTGGGGTCAGATACTCTGCACAATCCAAACAAAATACGCGACAGTAAGGCTCCATACCATGAACACAACTCGTCCAAGATCACCAGTAACCTTCAAGTGTCTCTTTGCCATCTCCTCACGGTAGGGAATGACAACGGTGCATCCCTGGCGAGCTGCGGGCCATTAGTCCATGATCCAATTGCAGTGCAGTACTCTCAACCTACCAAGCTTATTGACAATGTAGCGACCGAGGAAACCAGTAGCACCGAAGACCGTCGCGGTGTGACCTAGAATTGTGTGAGCACGTCGGGACGGAAGCGTAGCATCAAAATGGAAAGGCGTAGCTACCTCCAATGGAAGAACTATAAGAAGAGCGCGTCAGCAAGCAAGAACAGTAAACCTACAGCACAATTGATCACTTACCGGCCACCTTGGACCTTCAAGAGGGGCTTGCCAGTCCGGGTGATGCGGACATCCTGGAGGTTGCGCTGGAATTGAAGCTGAACCCGCGGGACTGGCACGAAGGGCCGAGCCCCTAGGGCAGTGTTGATGGTGCGAGACTTCTGCATGGTCTCTGGCTGGGTATATCTCGAGACCAGCGAATTGGAGCGGAGTGTTGCCAAGAAGGGCGTGGTGATGTGCGAGGGTCTTTCGCAGCGTCAAGTCGGAAGAACCGCACGGGACTGTTGCGCTAGTCCTGATTCGGGAGTACGGACCACCACTTTAACAAATCACTTTCTCGTCTTTCTTTTTTTTTCGTTGCTTGAGGTTGACTGAAATGATGGCTTCTGGGTTGTTCATTTGATTTGAAGTTAGTATATTAACCAAAATCTATGGGCTACGCTATCTACGACCTTTGTAGGAGGAAATTCCCGTTTTGATCTGACAACACCTGGACTGTGATTGGATGTTCCCTGGGCTTTATTCATGTCTATCGACCTCGGAAGTATTACCGTTTTACGTTCTTCTATACGCAATTAGACTATGGCCAGTGAATCTGCTTTTATTGGCTACCTACCATATTTGCTAATTCTATGCTTGGCCCGCGGGCCATTGTTATTCATTGATTCACTTACATCAGGGCTGTTCTAGAATGTATCTCGCCAACCGGCCCTAGAAGACCCGTTGCATGGAGGACAAAACTAGGGCATATTAAGTTGAAGCCATGGAAATAGCTGTTTATAACATCCCAGATGGCATATAGTAAGAGCAGAAGCTATAATAACTGCATGGCAACAACATAGTCACTTACAGACCAATAGTGCCAAGTGAATAAGAATATTATAAAGTCATTTACCTTTTACTCTTGAACAGAGTACTGGTGATGTCTCTCCAGTATGGGCACAATAAGTAGGCATAGAAGGCTACATAAACCATTTGATATTCCGATGTTCAGGGAGTATAGTAGTGTCTTGAAAGCATGATATATACCTGGACTAGATCCATGGATGTACACCACCCACATCACATAATCACATATCTCGCAACTACCACACGCCAACACTAATTTCTGAACAGTCTGCAAGTCTATTGTCACTACAGTGAAAAATTAATTAAGAAGTAAAAATAAAAAAATGACCTTTAAACTTACTAATTCTGTTACGGGGTTCTCCCGGAGAACCCTAAACTAAGTACTCGACTACGGAGTCTCGTGACTTCTCACCGCCTCGTACGAGCATACTTACGCCTGTGTTTACCCCTTTCCTTCCTATTCCTTAACGAAACCCTGTTGTACATAGGAAGCACTGTAGATTGTTGCAATCCAGTTTATTCCCTAACAGAAAATAACCCGCCCTCCGCCCGCAAAAGTGCGGGTCTGCGGGCGGCCCTTAGAGGGCCGCTCGCGGGCGGGTTTGAGGCCTAGAGGTAATAAGCCTACGACACCTTTTTCGCTCACCTAACGATTGTTATCTAGCCATGAAATTTGGCTATTGCGGCATCCGGACGGAAAATAATTCCCTAGGTGGACAGGAAACCGTGTCGCGGACAGAGTACAGTGAGATTAGGAAGTCTGGTGAGACCGCAGAGCCCGGCCTAGCCAATTAACTAGATTTATAAGATCACTACTTTGTGCATTCAATCGCTCTATAACTAAGTCCGGCTAACACCGAAGCGTTTTAATGTTATAGTATCTATAAAATTAGGGGAACGAAAAATTAGGACATTTCAAAGTATGGGGTCTGCTAAAAATTAAAGGAGCACAATATCAAGCGTGGAGTTATAATATTGATTGTTAAATTTTGAGTCTCAAAATTTTCAGGCTCGTCGATATTTAAGGCTCATTAAACGGGTTTCTTATTACACCACTTCTAAAGTCTAATAAAACAAAATTTACTACAAACTAAGAATCTTTGAGTTATCAGGCGTCTTGAGATCTGAGTCTCATGGTTTTGTGGGTCTTAAGAGTCGTAGGGGCGCTAGTGGGCGGTCTAGTGGCCTAGCAGGTCTTGAGACCGCGGTCTTGAAATCTGCTAGGTCTCCAGCTCTGTGTCTACCGCCTTCGGGTCGGTGTCACGGAGCCCTAGTACGCAGTCTCATATGAGCAGACTTCAGCTTTAGGTTGCATGTCATTAACCTTCATATATGGTTCTTATAATTGCTCGGGATTTAAGTCTCTGATCTTATCGCCTTGGTGGCCCTCTGTTAATGAACACGTGCTGAACTT